GCAGTTAGCATGAAAACAATCAGCAAGCACCGTACACGTGTCATTGATAGAATAGTATGTTGGTGCTTTTGTTTTTTCTGTTGTGTTTTGTTTCAGAAAATATACAGACAGATTCTTACTGTGACAAGCTTCCAAATTGCTTGTTCCATTCCTCGTACGTACCGAGCTCGTTCAAGGAAACAGAAGGCCTCACTTCTTGCAATGCACTCTCAAAGTCCTGTATCAAATAAACAAAAACTAGTTTTTAATTACTACAAAAGGACAACCCCAATCCAACAACGCCCAGACAAGGGTGGGAACGGGGAAACGTTTACCGTACGTAGTCTTACTCTATGCAGGTAAAAAAATGTCAAGTAAAACAACAAATATACTGAGGTGTGAGGAGTTCGAAATTTTAACCTGAACAGTTACTGGACGCATATCCTCTTTTTTGAGCTTTGTTATTTCGATGCCTTGTTTCAGAGCTTCTCTCAGTGGACCCATTGAGGCATCCTTCACCAAGTTTTTCATGTCCGATCCTGAGTACCCTGTGAAAGATAACGAGAAGCTTCAGACAGTGGAAGTATGATAGAGAAGACGATGGATAAGGTTCTCAAATGTATGGAGTGGATACCTTGGGTTAAATTGCATATGCTATCAATGTCCTCCCTTGAAAGTTTGAACAGTCCATCCTTTTCTAAGAGATTCCGTATGATCCAGGCTCTCGCTTCTTCAAAACAATAATTGCTGGTTAACCATGAATCAAGTATTAAGAATGTTAGTTAAATTAAACATGTTGTAACTTGTGACTTGTAAGTTGATACCTAATGAAGGCAGGGGAATGTAAAGCCTCTTGGTAAGTCGCCTCCGTGCTGCTTCATCAAGTTCTTGGGGTCGGTTTGTTGCTCCTAGAAGATTGTATCCATTTTGTGAAATTTTCACCATTTAACTAGTGAAACTAAGGATCAAGTCTAAACTCGACGTGTTAAAATTCATTAACAGCATTCTAGTTAGAGATGATTGAGATTCAGGGGGTTCAACAATCACCTATAAGAAGAATTTGCTCACTCCCACTGTCAAAGCCTTCCATCTCAATAAGGAACTGTGTTTTGAGTCGTCTACTTGATTCGTGCTCACCTTCTGACTTACGCTGCAGTCAAACAGAAATTAGTATCAGCTGAGTACATCCAGAAAGAATGTACAGTGATTGATACGATAAGAGCTAGAATTGCTCATTCAGTATAGCAAAGTGCAACACCCTGAGAGAAATGTATGGCATACATACAAACAGCTTATTATACCATTTCAAAGTTTAGTTAAAAGCTAGAGCAAACCTTACCTGCGAGAGAAGTGAATCAATTTCATCAACAAAAATAACAGCTGGCTGGCGACAACTTGCGACTCCAAACAGCGCTCGCACTAGCTTTTCACCCTCGCCAATCTACAGTCACCAGTTAAATAGTTGAAATATAAGTACATTTCAAGCATATATAACGAGAACGAGGGGTAAAAATCAGGGCAAGGAATTTAAACACTGATTTTCTGAAGAATGGGAAAATATGCAGGAATCAAAATTATTAAGTATACTGATTATAATTATTTTTTCTATATATCCTAAAAGTTTCCAAGTAAGTTGACATTTTAGAAAAGGCAGAAGAAAAAAGACATCAGAAAACATATGCCAGTGAACTATCACAGAACCTAAGCAAACAGAAATAACGCATCGGATACCCATTTGCTTGTTAATGAACTGGCAGATATGTAGAAAAAGGTTGCTTTTGCCTCTCCAGCTATGGCTTTCCCAATCATTGTTTTTCCTGTTCCCTAAACCAGGTAAAGGATTAAGATAGCTTATTGATCAGAAATACTTTTACTCCCTCTACTTAAAAAGGATTCAACACTTACTGGTGGACCAAAGAGAAGAAGGCCTTTCCCAGGAGAACGACAGCCCTTAAAAATGTCAGGGCGTAGTAGAGGCCATATGACCATCTCGGTTACACATTTTTTCGCATGCTCCAAACCAGCTAAAACAGTGCCATGCAACAGAAAAAATCAGAACAGCTTCAGATGTATTGCAGAAAACCGTACATGTAGAGAGTTTAAAGCATCACATATTACCGATATCATTCCATCGAACATTAGGATCCTTGTCCATAATCTCATTACTAACATGCTCAAGAAGACGAGGTTCCAAGTTCCTTAGTTTTTCTGGAAGCTCTCCATCAGGACCGCAGAGCAGTTCCAAACTTGAATGAAAACATTGAAGACATTAGGACTTGCATACATATTTCACACAATCTATAAAAGTTATACTGCTCACCATCTCTTAGTTGAGTCACCTAATGCATCATCTGACTTTCCAGCGACTCGTGAAGTCACATTCCCAACGTTTCCCTCATTAGATTTAATAGGGGGGACAAAATTACCACGGGCTCCCCGACGTGAATAACCATATGATCGCATACCATAACCCCTATTAGTAGCATTGCCATCACTTTGAGGAGAGACACAAGAATTTGGTGATCCCGCTGGCGCTAACCCTCTTCTTTGCCTCACATCCATTTCCTAGCCAACAAAGGAACAAACCCATCAACATTTTCACATGTGCAAAAAGTGTAAACAAAGGGAGGAAGAACTTAAAAGAATGAAGATATGAGCTCCGGTAAGATCAGGTTAAGTACAAAATTATTTACTACAGGTTACAAAACCTTATGGTAAAAAGCAGTAATAAAAGGAAGGGTTGTCAGAAATAAGAAGGATACCAATTTGGCTTTGGCAGTAACAAAGCTATTTCCAGAACCATCAGCTTTAGCATCTTCATTGGCTGATGGGGACTTCGCTATATCAATGATGGGACTAGTAAATTCCCTGTGTGCACGTTTAGCCCTAAAGGTATTATCATAAGCTCCTTCCTCTTCAACTTTTTGAAAAGAAGAGGCACTATGACCGCCATTACGGTTGTGGAGAGTGTGAAGCCTTTCTACAACAAAGCAGTCCTCAGAGCTGTTACTTTTAGAGGCCAAAGAACCCTTGGATTTTCCATTACTTTCCACCATCGAGTTCTGTTTGTACAACGATGTCAACTTTGTTTGTGTCATAGGTTTCGATAACTTGCTAGTCAACTTGTCCTGCCTCTCCAATTGATCTCCCTAGGGCAGACAGAACTTTCGGTAAGCACAACCAATCGTAATAAATCACAAAGTTAAAGTTAAGGAAAATGATTTCAACAAGCGAAATCTGAGGCAAATGATACCAAATCATTTGCAGCCCTTCCGTTATTAGATTGCTGAAGAAGAGCCTGAAAGTACTTTGACTGCTTAATCTTCTCAATGTCAATATCTCCATTTGTGCCAAAAACACAGCCCGGCGCCTTCTTTGCTTGCTCAAATACTTTGCTGTACATACGATAAAAAATCTGAATCTAGTTGTGAAAAAACAAAATTAGAGTTACTAATCTACATTAAGACAGTACTTTGACTGCTTAATCTTCTCAATGTCAATATCTCCATTTGTGCCAAAAACACAGCCCGGCGCCTTCTTTGCTTGCTCAAATACTTTGCTGTACAGCATACGATAAAAAATCTGAGTCTAGTTGTGAAAAACAAAATTAGAGTTACTAATCTACACTAAGACCACTAACAAATTCAGTGCCGGTTTACCAACACTCGAATAAATCGATCAAATTCAGATTTAGGGTTCATCAATTCAAACCCTACTTCGTATCTAGTAAAAATTACACATTCATTTGAGTCACAATTCAAAATTTAACTTCTCCAAAAAACTTCAAGAAATTCACATAATGTTTAATTTCTAGCAATTTCACAGGGTCTCGACCAATAAAAAGTACAATAATAGGAAACTGAAAACGCACGCAAGAAATGCCAAGTGCTAGGGTTGTCAAAGCTTCGATTCAAATGAAAAATCAAGCTCAGACAGCGAAAGAGAGAGAGGCGCACCGATCGGAAAGAGGAATGAGCTCGCGGCGTGCGGCGTGGAGTTTGGCTTCGGTTTCTCGACGAATGGGGCGGATGAAGGCGTGGTCGAGCGAAGACTGAGATTGGGAGTCAAGGAAGCCAAGGAGACGAAGGCCGAGAATCTGAGCGGAGGAGAAGTCGTGCCTCTCGAGGGCGAGCTCGGCTCCGAAGGAAAGAGAATGGAGCCTGTTCAGGTTATCGTCCACTTGCTTTCTCCAGCAGACCTCTTCGCCGCGGGCACCGGTCGCTCCTCGGCACCCCTTCGCTTCCTCCTTTCCCGCCATTTTTTTCCTTTTACTTTGCTCAACTGTGACTGAGTGACGATGATTTAGAGCGCAGGAATCGATCGAGCCTGCAAGGTCAAAGATACCCTTACTTATAATGTCATCGAGAGGGTAGAAATGACTTTTTATATTTTTCGAATTCGCAAATTTTTCCCCGGCTATGCTGTCGTCGTATGTAAAAGATGTTTGCCAATCGGATTAGAATTTATGATTGGGGTATTTGCCAATTTCTTGAATGTATAAAATAACTAAAAACGTTTTTGATAACGTTTGGTAAAAAAAGTTCTAAATGTTTTTGATTGGAAAAATATTTAGACTACAGCTACCAAATTTCGATTTCTTGAAGAAATAATATGATAAATTAAAAACACTATCACACAAGAAACGTTAAATGCTAAGGTCTTCAAGTTTCGATTCAAAGGAAAAATGAAAGAAGAAAGGCAGAATGGTCAGAATTCGGAATGTGGGCGCGCTGGGAGACGTCGAGTATGGACATGGTATCACGGCGAATGGAACGGATGACGGCATGGTCAAGCGGAGAGTGAAAGTGGGAGTCAAGAAATCCGAGATGAAACTCCGAGGATTTGAACGGAGGAGAGGTGGTGGATCAGGAATTTGTCGATTTGAACCCAAGGATTGGGGCTGAGTTGGCGAATGTGGCGGTGCCATGGTGGTGATAGCGATGGCGGTCTTCTAGGTCGGTCTGAGCGAGCGCATTGAAATCGAATCACACAGATAATTCACAAAACTCCAGCACAGATGATGAATAAAACTGTCTACATGTTTGTACATTAACCATAAATGAGCAAGTTCAGCAGCACAGCAAGTACATGGTAAAATTTAATGGTTACAAACAGAACAAGATCTATATTTTTTGCCTTGGTTCAATAATCTGCGTGCAGTGTCCGTCCTCCCTCCTCGTCCTACACTAGAAAAGGCAATCCTATATCCTCCTCCTACAACCTCTCCTACATCTGCTTAAGAACACAAAGGTGGCTGGCAGTGGCACCGCCGGCAAGAGCTCAATATTCCCCTCATATCATATGCTTCCAGGAGCAGCATCACTTCCTGCACCTGGCTTACGATTCAGATACCGGATAACAGCATCTTCAACCCTGTTGCAATCACCAACCACGAGATTCAATAAGTAGTTCTTCATCGTCCTAAACCGTATATGTAACTAAATGTCAACGTGAATCAACTAATGCATCATTTAACCAAAATGAAATTCCATCTGGAACAATCAAGCGGTGGATATTGAAACAGAAAGTAAAATAATGATCAGCAGACATTATTCATCTGGATGAATGTGCGCACCTAAAAATGGCGACAACAAAGCTGTGAAGCGCAGGTAAAAGTGGAAAAATCAATTATACTAAGTGATGTGCTTACCATGGCTGGTGGAAGAAATCTGATCGCCTCTGTTTTTCAGCACTACGGCTTGCTACTCCAGCTACAAGCTTTAAATCTTTGTTTTGAGATTCAATCAGTGCATTGATAAATTCTACAGGAGATTGACTAAACCCAAGGAAAAAAGCTCGCCTGCGACGATGTTCATGGATTTTTCTTATAGCTGCACATATTGCTTCATCACAGACATCAATCTCTTTGTTCTTCTCGGAGTTGGCCAAAAGAGCAGACAGATCCCTTTGGATTGGGAAAGGAACATCAACCAACACATCATAACATGCAGTTCCAGCTGGACTATTTCCTGAAAGCTTTATCTTATGCTCCAAATGTATAGGTTGCGGGGGGAACAAATGCTGAGATATCTTCTGCGATACCATGGTGAATTTCATCTTCTCTTCCCCAAATACTTTCTGAAGTGGTGGATCACAGTTAAAGAAAGAGGGGTCATGCTGGTTCTGCAATTTCCTAGCTTTCACATAGTGCCAGATTGAAGCTATTATCCTGGGGCGGGTTTCAACCTCAATACCAAGAATTTCCATCAACGGTTGAGAAAGCTTATACTTCTCGGGCGCATAATTCATTTCCAACCGTATGTTCACAGTAAATTCTTTGTCCCCTTTTCTCTTCACCTCGAAGCCCTCATGAGGTGCCGGTGATCTAGCATTTTCCCACAAAATGATATGATTATCAGGATATAGTCTCTGATCCAAAGAAATTGTTACTCTCTTGAAGAAAGATGAGAACTTTGGATAAAAGGGATTTGATTTCTGGACCATTCCAGGCTGGTCAGGATCAACCCCATCTTCCAAGATCCTCCCAACTATTTTAAGTGTCCAAGTAGGGGGATCAGCATTTGGCTTCTGTGGAATCGAGCGAACCTGATTAGCAAAAGTGTTAAAAACATAAATCCGCAGCGTTTTCTGAATGCAAGGTGGGCTTTTAAGGGCCTCTTGGATGTCAACTTTCTTTCTTGCAAGGGCAGAATCAACACGAGCCTCAAACTCGAGAAGCTGGGTGTAGAGAGCAGATTCAGGCAGAATGGTGGCTACTTTGTCTTGTAGCTGTTTATCGGGAAGCTTCTGCTTCTTTTTACGAGCAGCAGGGTTGAGTTCCATGGTTCTCAGAGGTGACATCGTGTGCGTAGGAGAAGCACCAGAAGGGCGCATTGGTGGTTTTTGGGGGTAGCGCTTGGCACTTGCATTCCCAGGTGTGGAAAAGGAAGGTGAAGATGACCCCAAATTCGCAATGCCAACAGATTGGTTCTGGTTAAGGGCCATCGCCTGAGCTTGGAACTGAGCTTGGAATTGGGCATGAGCTTTTGACTGAGCCTGGGCATGAGCCTGGGCAATAGCCTGGGCTTGGGAGAGCTGAAACTGACCTTGGTAACCAGCCCCAATCTGTGTTTGGGCTTGCGATTGTTGAAATGCAGTGTTTGCAGACATAGATTGCCCTACCATACTGACATTGCCAAAGGGCGACGAGGGGGCTCCGAGACTCTTAGGTGGGTTATTATTGTTCATAGACATAGCTGACCCTAACCAGATAATGATAAAAAACCAGCAAAAATATTAATTCTCCAGAAGCCTAACCTTAAAAATCCGTCCCAACATCAAACACCCACAAAGAAAACGATGCATGCATAAGCATTTACACCAAGATATTAAAACCCAGCAAAAGAACATGCGCGAAACCGAAACCGAAACCCGCTCAAATTCGAACCTTCTAGAACCATTTCCGAGCAACACACCAAAAGATAGATGACCCAAATCCACGAAATTTCGCAGGAGGCAAACTTTTGGTTTCACAAAACCCTAATTCAAGAAAAGGCAATCAGACCCAAAAGTTGACATATGGTACAAAATCCACAACCAAAGGAGCAAATATCAAATAAAGGATACAGAATTTGACATAAACAGATCAAAAAGAGAGCAATTTTGAAATTCTGAACGAGAATTGGCAGTTGAGAATACTGCGAAATTCACGAGGAGATCAAGAAAGACCTAAGGAAACGAAGGGATAGAGAATCACTTACAGATAAGCAGAAGCAGTCCCAAGCTTTTAGAGTAGAGCAAAAGCTGGTTTACTTTCCTCCACCTGACAACGATGACACCAGACGAGTGTGAGCTCCTGCAGCAACACTGACGCTAAGCGCTTTGATTGATTTCGCTCTTTTTCCTTCTCCTACTTTCCCTTCGGCACCATATTACCGAATAATAGTTTTTTCTTCTTTTGGGGTAATTGCACTTCGCACCACTCTATGATTGGTATTTTACACTTTACTACTCTTGAGTTACGACTTCTTACAGTTTACGACATAATCTACTCATTTACAAACAATATTACTACTTTAAATTAAACTAACAAGAAAAGAAGAATTAGAACTCCGAACAAAATTGATTGAAAATAAAACAAAATTTGGAATGGAGTGGATTGAAGACAATCAACCGCTGTATTTTACTCTTCTTTTCAAGTTGAACTAAAGGCGAGCAAAAAATAGATATAGATGGTTAAAGTTTTCGTTTCACTTGATTAGATGTAACTTTTATCAATCATGGTAACAAAATTTTCTTATATCGTCGAAGTTGAAAAAAAGAAAAAGAAAAAGACATAGATGGTACTTAAGCCCAACATCCCAAAGGCCCAGTCCACGCGTTTTAACTAGTTTGCGCTTTATAGTGCTAAAACCCTAAAGTTTCTTCGATTTTCGCTCGAATTCATCTCTGACCGCCCAAACTCCTCCTACCGCCGCCGATCAACAGCAATGGTAGAACTCTCTCAGAAATACTCGTTTTTGTTGTAAAAATGCGTCTTTGTTATTTAATTCTGATCAATTTTCAAACTTGATTTGCTCAGGTGAAGTACTCGAGGGAGCCCGATAATCCCACCAAGTGTAAGCAATTTTTTGTTTTAATTTACTCAATTATATGTTCTAAATTCGAATTGAATCTCATTCGTATTAATTTTTTTGTTTATTAATAATTATTTTATGCATTTTACCTCAGCCTGCAAGGCCCAGGGCGAGGGTCTAAGAGTTCATTTCAAGGTACATTTTAAATTTTTTTTTTCCTTTTTTTTTTTTTTTTAACAAATTTGATGTGTTTTTTTTTAATTTATGGTTGAAAATATGTTTATCTTGGATTGCTTGTGTTATGCCTGGACTGGTTCGATTCGATTGGTATAATTTGGATTTGTTAATCTGTTTTAGAACACGAGAGAGACTGCCCATGCCATCAGGAAGATGCATTTGGCAAAGGCCAAAAGGTACTTGGAAGATGTTTTAGCCCACAAGCAAGCCATTCCCTTTCGCCGCTTTTGCCGCGGTGTTGGTCGAACTGCTCAGGCGAAGAACCGCCAGTCCAATGGTCAGGGACGTTGGCCGGTTAAGTCTGCTAATTTCATTCTTGATTTGCTCAAGAATGCTGAGAGCAATGCTGAGGTAGATGCTTCTCGTTTGTTGGCCTGGCTTTCGCCGCTTTGCTTGATGTTTTATATTAGCGTTGAACGCAACCTGAGCTGTTTTCGTATTATGTAGGTAAAAGGGCTTGATGTGGATTCGCTCTACGTCTCTCACATCCAGGTCAACCAGGCTCAGAAACAGAGACGCCGCACGTATCGTGCTCATGGGAGAATAAATCGTGAGTTTGCTTTTATATATCTCCCTTTTTTTTCCCTTCCATTTTGTGTGGTGGGAAGGAATTACTTTTTTCGTGTGGTTGAACATAGTTTTGTCTTTCTGCAGCTTATATGTCATCTCCCTGCCATATCGAGTTGATTTTGTCAGAGAAAGAAGAGGCAGTAAAGAAAGAGGTAATCTACAGCGTCATTCTCAAATTGCTTAAGTGTCAATTTTGAAAGGAAAACCAAATTTGAGATTAGTGCAATCCAGCCTATAAATCGAACATATGCATTGTGTGGCATTGTCTGGATATGTGCGTTGTGCAGTCAGTTTCTTAAAGGTGTTTTTACTCGACAAGTATTTAAGCTGAGGTTTATATCATTAATGTGCTGCGATAACGCTTATGTGAATGAGATCTTATCATGTTTGTTAGCATACTGAATTTGAACTCATAAATTGGTGGCACAAAATATGGACACCATAGCTCTGAAAAGAAACAGTAGGTCATTGGTTGAAACCTTTTTCATTTTAAACATATCAAAGCTGATGTGGATCTTTACCGTTGTGCATCAACAATAAAGCCCTCTGCTAGTCTATGATAGAACAAATGTACTGGGGCCCAACTTTTTTTTTGGGTTACATCTGTGCTGGTATTAACAAACAAGGCATGCAGCCGACGTTGCAAACTTTGAGCTGGTTGACTGAAGTCATCTTGTTCCTCACAGTTTGTTATCGTTTCCAAATGAGTTCCAATAGGCTTTTTTGTCATAGTTGTTGGATTATGCTACTGAATTGTTTGTCAAATATGAATTCTGCTCGTTGTGCTTATTTTGCAGGCCGAAACTCAGTTGGCTCCCAGGAAATCGAGGAAAGGTCAAGCACTGCAGAGCGGTGCTTCTTCTTGAGATGTGTACTTTAAAGAGTTTGTGGTCGTCATTCGTATTCCTAGACTATCCACTCTATTATCTTTCGCAGAATATCTCAGTTTTCGGTATCTGTTATTTGTAGTTGAGAATTGTGTCGCTGAATGTTTGTTCGGCAATTTTACTTTTCAATGTCTGGACGAGATTTTAAGCCTTTCTGTTTTCTGAGTGAACTAATTGCAAGTGGAAATTTGTGGTGATTCCATATTTTGAAGTTAATTAGCACGTACTAGTCAAAAGCAGTTTATCTTTACTAATACTTTATGACGTCTTGATTCCATGTTATTATTCTTCTTTTGGTAGGCACTGTTCTAAAACTTTCCTCCTAGCCATCGCCCCGATTAGTATTTAGGGGTCTGAAAATTAAGAAAGAGCACCTAGACCTACCTAGATGCCCTTCTTCGTCGCAACTCTCACTAAGACAAAAAAAAAAGATCATTTTGGTGTTGTGTTTTATTTTTTCAGCAAAATGTAAGAGTATTGTTAAATACTTGGATGAACGTTGGTTATATGCTCTACCCATATGCATGTTTTCAATATATTTTAATATTTTATAATTCATATGTTATTCGATTTTGCAATTTATGTATTTTTTATATAAGTGAACAGCTATTTAAATGTTATATAAAATTTAATTAAAAATTAAAAAAAATAAAAAATAAAAAATACTTAAGCCTTGCCTAGATGTCTTGGCACTAGGTTCTTGCTTGTCGCTCGACTCGCACCTAGCGTAGGGAAATGGATCATCTTTGGATCCTTTCCTCTTAATCCACCAAGTCCGGAGATTCGGATCGTTGAAATTTGATATAACGGTTAAAATTATTATAACTTCAGGATCCCTTTCCCTTGCGTAGAACCTTAAAAGTAAGGGTAGGAAAGTTGGTTCATCTTTTAACATGTGGTAATTGGTAAACGGCAAATTCCAGACGTATGGCTCATCGTCCGATAGTGTTACTGCCACTACAAATTAGTCATCCTGGACTCGTCCTTTGTAGAAAAAAAATTAAGGACAGACGAGTTCAAGGTTACATCCTCTGTTTTCTGTGGTTGGAGCACATGTTATGCAAGAGAGAGAAGAAAAGAAAAACCCAGAAAGCTTCATTAGATACTCCCAAGTTCTATGTCACGAGGTTTGGACTTGGGAGAACCACGCACATTAATAGTAATACAACAACGGAAAAACAAGTGGAAAATCAAACAAACTAGGCTGTACTCGTGGCAAGCCTTATAAGAGGTGGAATAGAAAATAACCGGCTGAAGCGTATTGATCATCCGTCTGTGATGCATTGTATGTCTATGATTCCGTACTACCATTTTTCAGGAGTCGATTATTCATAGCTATTACCATGACACCAAAGAATAGTTCGACCCAATGCTCCACATCAAACGGCTAGAAGGCAGAAAATACACCTTCTGGGTCAAAGTTAACCTTATTCAAGCAGCCATGACGGAACAATTAATGATGAAGCGGGTATTGTGGCTGTGGCCCTGCTCAAGAGCTTGCCACTGCAATTCATCAGCGGTTGGATCAGGGCAGCAAGTGTACATGAGGGCAGGGCCTCCTGCATTTGCATCTGATGAAGATTGGCTGACAAGTAGCTCGTCCCCGAGTGACTTAAACCCTACACCCCATCCGGAAGTAGCATCAGCTCTTACCGGAACGACCCCCAACTTCTTCCATGCCTTGCTTTGCTTCAAATACACCTTGAGCTCATTCGTGGAAGTTTTAAGAGAGTAGAGCTCGCTGGCCACCACCGCAATAAGAGGCGGAGACGAGTTACTTAGAGTTGCCCAGTCAGCTTCTAGCATGTCCGGGATAAGTTCCCATGTGTGTTTCTCAATATCAAAGGCTTCAGCACAGAATAAATCACTTCCATGACGATCTTTCCCTCCAATTACATAAAACTTGTTGTCCAAGAAACAGCCGGAGCAGCCCCTCCTCTCTTGCTTCATATTCGGAAGGGGCTCCCATGATTTAGTCCCGGGATCGTATCTCTCAGTAGAATCCATGGCTTTCCAATCACTTGCCAGTCCCATCCCGCCGGCCACATATGCGTAGGAACCACATGTTGCAGAAGCAAACATACACCTCGGACTGATCATGCTAGGACCCTTGCTCCATTGGTTTGCTTCCATGTCATACCTCCAAACAACAACACCCTCTATCTCTCTGCCGGACACCAGGAGATGAGTCCCTGCACAAAGGGACTCCCTGTCGCTTGACGCGAAGCACAAATCCGACGGTAGGATTGGGAGCTTCCTGCAAAACCTGAACCGCCTGTCAAATTCCCACCATGTATTCTCCCCGTGTTGCGACACAAACACAGAGGGCTCCTTGATCCCAAGTTTGGCCCTGATCTTGTATAGCTCACCGCTCTTCAACAGCGTGAAAAATCGCTTGTTTATGGTACAAAACTTCGGGTACTCTGATCTCGGCACCCTGGCTAAGATCAAGGCCTCCACCTCATCAGTGAGGGGAGGAATTGTATAGTCTGTATCCTGCGGTTTACGTGGCACGGTTCCTAAGGAACCAGAACCATCAACTTCGAGCCTAAGCTGCCGTGAATATTGAAATCCACGGCGGCTCAGGCCTTGATTTCCAACCTTTTCTCCGGCATTACTAGCAAACACCAATTTCTTACAACTGAGAACATTATTATTGCATTCATCTCTAAACAACTCCCTGCTTTCTTCTCCTCCTCCTCGTCCTCCTCCTTCTTCTGCAGTACCCTCCATTTCTTTTTCTCTGGACATTGATTCCTTCAAACCCTCAAACCTTTGGATTCCTGGGGAATTCAGAAACTAGAGAATAAAATCCAAGAAATGATCATGACAAATTAGGTCACTATGTGCACTAATCATATCATAAATAAATTTAAAAAAAAAAGAAGAAGAAAGCAATACGACTCAAAGTTAATGATTAGAAGAAACAATAGCTTGGCAGTAATTTCATTTTCTCAAGGAGAATCAGATTCTGCGAGGGCAAAAAGCTGAAAATTTTACTTGAAACAAAGCTGCCTTACAAACATATAAATTACGGGTTGTGATTTTTTCACTCTTATTTTCTCCTTCGGGCAGGGCAAAAAGCTCAAAATTTTACTTGAAACAAAGCTGCCTTACAGACGTATAAATTATGGGTTGTAATTTTCTCACTCTTATTTTCTCCTTTCGCACTCATTTCTGTGTTTTTGTCCCTTTCTCTTTTCATTGTTCAATCGTACAACTGGAAAAAAAAGCCGACAGAGGGCAGAAGAGAAAATGGGGGTATATATTTACCCACATGAGGAAATTATATCAAACACTTGTGCAGAGGTTAATGAAATTACCCACATATATATATAAGAAGATAACTAAGATGCCTCAAATAATATTACAAATAATATAATTTACACAGATAAAAGTTTTGATCAACATCCAGTAAACAGAAAGCAATATATATATACAGAAAAGTACCTTAAAATGGGCAGTTGCATATAAACAAAAGATAAATATTGCAGAGAGATGATAACCAATGAAAATTAATTAAAAATAAACAAATAAAATAGTATGGAAGAAAGAGTAGTAATACCAGCCTACCAGGGAGTCAACCTTCAAGTCAAAGCTACGAAAATGAAAGAAATGAAAGGTGGTAGTGGGTGGTGTGGTCTCTCAGCTCAGTTAATCTCTAAAGATCAAACTATGTGCTGAGAGAAGAAAACCAAGACATTGAAGCAGTATCAGCAGCAGCGAAGGAGGAGAGAGAAGGATCGGAGGAGAGAGAAAGGATGGAGGAAATGAAATAGTACAAGCAGTGTGATGGCAGCGATGGAGAAACAGTTCAACTTGGAGTTGAATATGACTCCCCACTTGCTTGTTGTAGGGATTATAATATACAAACAATATTATTTTAGTTATCATCACCACCACCAACATTTTTAGATAGAGAGAGAGTATTTACTGTATTGTATGGTTCTTTTGTATACTGGGTGAGTAGGAGTGGCAGCCGGAGTCGTTCCGTGTACCGATTAATAAATATCTATGCGTGTTATAACATTAGTAGATCAGTATTATTAAGTGAGGTGGAGTGACAGTCACACTAAAAAAGCTAATTTTATCATAGCAAAATCGGGTGAATTAGGTCAATTAACTTATTTAACTTCACGATTGCAACAAGTGATAAGATATGTGCGTATAAATGTACTTTTGTAACTAGCCTACGCACCCACAACAAAGTTACATTATCACAATTAAGATAAGCATAATTGGAATTTGAACTCGTTTGGAAGTACTTTTGAAAAAGTTGAAAATGCTTTTTTTTTAAATGTTTTGGAAACAAATATTTAGTAAAAAAAGGCAAGTGAATCTTAAAAAAAAAACACTTGAAGTGCTTCTTACAACTTGTGCTTCTTGCATGAAGTAATTTAAGTGTTTTTGAAATCTAAAAATATTTTCTATAAAAACTCTTTCAACCATTTAAAAGTACTTTCAAACGAGCTTATACATAGGAGAGAGTACATAAACGTTCTAATCAATATAGCTTCAACCACATCTCTCAAAAAAATATTCAATGTGCCGGGAATATGACATGATATACCAAGCATCATAATAGAAATGGTTGGAAATTTTTTTTCAATTATCTAATCATTTGTATTATGACATTTGATGTATCGGGCAGTGTTACCAGCACACTGAAAAATCTCTCAATCTTCCCAAACCAAATAAGATTTAAGATTTGATAAATAATTTTTTGGGTTAATATAGTATAGCTATATTTCTAGGACCCAACAGATGCTCTCTGGATCCTTCCGGTGAGGATCCTGGAGATCTGATAATCGTGTCTGTTTATCGTACATTGTGTGATTAGTTTTTGTCAGGTACTGTTTGTATTTAATTTTAAATATAAATATTTAAATAATTTCTGACATCACGATATACGATGAACGAATATGATTTACGAATTTTTGAGATTCTCATAAAAAGAATCCGACGATGATCCATATTCTTCTAGGACCACTACATCGGTCCTAGTCGGATTGCACTGATCAAGGGTATCGATAAAGCTGGTTAACAATTTCCCATCTGAGTTGTTTAATGGCCATCAGTAATTAACCATCAATGTTTTTCTCTTTTTGAAGTGTTCTTTTTTCTGCTAATCCATTCTTTAATCAAGGGTTTGCGCTGCATGTCCACTGATTAGTATCATGGATTTGCCTTTCGTCACCAAAATATTTTCTAATTAGTATTCTAATCACGTTTCAGAATCTTATATCATTTTTGTTCCAAATAAACTATGAGAAAAGCAAAGCATGGCGTTGGCAGTAGCAGTGGGAGCTTAATTAATCAGCTTTCGGCCCTCGATTTAGTATTAAAAAGCAAACAAGTTTCGACAGACACACTCGTTCATCTCTTAATTGGTTTAATTATATATATTTATTTATTTTAGTCCAAAATTGGTTTACAGCAGCTTTTTATAAATTCTTTGTCACCTCATAGTTTAAAATTAATTCATGTGCCAACATTCTAAAATATTGTGCAAAAAATATGAAATAATAAAAAGTCGGTAAAGAATCACACTTTTAATAGAATCACCTTAACATTTTTCATATTTAGCACCAAATGTATCTTCCAGTACACACGACATTAATCAAACGAAATAGTAAAAGAGGAGAAGAGAGAATCCTAATCCTTTGTATTTACCAAGAATTGGGGATGCACGTCAGCACGTGGCATGAATTGCTTCAAATATGATGATAAAGCATTGTGAGAGTCACATTATGCAAAAGGTGGATGACGTAGTTGATATCTTCTAAAAGAAAAATGCGAGGTAGGCTAAATTATTAGACCATTTCTTGTAAATCATCTTGTATAGCAGTTGATGGTTGAGCTTCTTTTTAATAATTTAAGGGAGTCTAACCATAAACTGACACATCATATAGTGTACAAAAGATGATTTTATAAATTTGATTTCTCTAACATCATCCTTTATAAAATATTATAATATCATTGTATTTATCGCAGCTTGAAATGAACAAATGATATTCAAAGAAATATATCTTTTACTTTTATTACTTTTATCAACCTTATTAATATTTTGATGCACTTATTATACATTTGATGTTTAAAGCATATTACTTACTTGAAGTATGAGAAGTTTGAATGAAAAACATATCAGAATGATAGTTGTTCATACATGAGATAAACAACTCTATAGTGGAATGATAAGACTATAGTAGGAGAGTGACTGTCAAACCGAAAGCATCCCTCAAAACATATATTATACAAATACTAAAACTCTTTCGACCAAAAAAAAAAAACATACACTAAAACTCAGTTTCCTGGTACTGTTCGTTAATAGTGTAATGTGGCTGAAATGGCCTTCGTTTCTTCTTGGTTGTCTACTTTGTACAGTTAAACGGCGGTTTTGCCCATGCTCGCCACCAGTCGATCATCATGTATCTCTATGCTTCGATTTCGTCTTCTTCGCTTTACCTTTTAGTTTGGGTTTTGTCTCTCACTTTTGTCCATCTTCATCTCGCTTTCTTCCTCTCAAATCATGTTTTTTTTTTCCTTCCATAATAGTCACGAGTAAACCTGATTTTCAATTAGGGTTATTATACAAAATAGTCTCTGAAGTTTGCATGATCAATAGAAATGGTCCATGAGATTGAAAATCCATAGAAATGGTCTCTGAGATTGTCCACCATCCATCATTTTGATCATTCTATTAAAAATGAATTTGAGTAATTTTCAAAGCTTTGTAATTCAATCGTTTCTTAACCAAATTCGACCCATAATATATCAAAATGAAAATAGGAAAGTGTAAAATAAGATTATACCTATTTGGAAGCCCAATGGTTAGCAGTAAAGAAAGATACTATTCTCTTCGTCTCGTCCATAAGTACGATTTTAGTTTTTGAATCACTCGATTTCATTGAGTATTGAAGAAGTTATGAATGTTTAAAGTTTATCCAGTTTCTGGCGAGTTTTTAGTTTTCTCGCGGACCAGTCACTTTCAGGCTATTTTCCGGTCATCTTTGGCAATCATTGGGCTTAAAAATAGTATAATATTGTTCTACACTTTCTTATCTTCATTTTGATATATTATGGGTCGAATTTAGTTAAAAATCGATTGAGTTATAAAGCTTTGAAAATTGCCCAAAGAGTTTTTAACGGAATGATCAAAATTATGGATGGTGGACAATCTCAGGACTATTTATATTGATTTTCAATCTCAATAATGACCATTTGTATTGATGATGCAAATCTCAGGGCTCGCTTTGGATAATAACCCTTTCGTTTATTTGGGAATTTTGTTTCCAATCTCCGTTTTCAGAGTAATCGTGCATCTCTGTAAAAGCTAGATTTGTCAATGTTTTGTCGAAACTGACAGCAACGTTTTCTGCGGAAAAAAAAAAAATAGTCATCCTGGACTCGTCCGTAGTGGAAAAAAAAAACTGACAGATGAGTTCAAGGTTATATCCTCTGTTTCCTGTGGTTGAACACACACGTGCATATGTTATGCAGGAGAGAGAAGAACAGAAAAACTCAGAAAGCTCCATTAGAAAACCCCAAGTTTTATATCACAAGGTTTGGACTTGGGAGGGAGACGCACATTAATAATAATACAACAAACATCGAAAAACAAGTGGAAAATTGAACACTAGTTTGTACTCGTGGAAAGCCTTCTAAGAGGTGGAATAAAATAACCTGGTTGAAGCATATTGATCATCTGCCTGCACTGCATTATGTGTGTCCATTAACATGATAGTTCTTATTCCTTTACCCTTTCTCGGGAGTTGATGACTATTTATGGTTATTACCATGACACCAAAGAAGGGTGGAATTTAAATGCACCACATCAAACGGCTACCTAGTCAGAAATCAGACCTTTTAGGGTTGAAGTTAACCGCATTCAAGCAGCCATGACGGAACAATTAACTATGAAGCGGGTAGGGCGGCTGTGGCCGTGCTCAAGAGCTTGCCACTGCAATTCATCAGCTGTTGGATCAGGGCGGCAAGTGTATATGAGGGCAGGGCCTCCTGCATATGCATCTAATGATGATTGGATGACAAGTAGCTCGTCCCTGAGCGACTTAAAGGCTACACCCCATCCGGAAGTAGCGTCAGCTCTTACTGGAACGACTCCCAACTTCTTCCATGCCTTGCTTTGCTTCAAATACACCTTGAGCTCATTTGTGGAAGTTTCCAGAGAGTAGAGCTGGTTGGCCACCACCGCAATAAGTGGCGGAGATGGGTTTCTTAGAGTTGTCCAGTCAGCTTCTAGCATGTCCGGGATGAGTTCCCATGTTTGTTTCTCGATATCAAAGGCTTCTGCACAGAATAGATCGCTTCCTTGCCGATCTTTCCCTCCAATCACATAAAACTTGTTGTCCAAGAAACAGCCGGAGCAGCTCCTCCTCTCTCGCTCCATGTTTGGAAGGGGCTCCCATGATTTAGTCCCAGGATTGTATCTCTCAGCAGAATCCATGGCTTTCCAATCACTTGCCAATCCCATCCCGCCGGCCACATATGCGTAGGAACCACATGTTGCAGAAGCAAACATACACCTCGGACTGATCATGCTAGGACCCTTGCCCCATTGGTTTGCTTCCATGTCATACCTCCAAACAACAACACCCTCTATCTCTCTGCCAGACACCAGGAGATGAGTCCCTGCACAAAGGGACTCCCTGTCGCTTGACGTGAAGCACGAATCCGACGGTAGGATTGGGAGCTTCCTGCAAAACCTGAACTTCCTGTCAAATTCCCACCACGTATTTTCCCCGTATTGCGACACAAACACAGAGGGTTCCTTAATCCCAAGTTCGGCCCTGATCTTGTATAGCTCACCGCTCTTCAACAGCGCGAAAAAGCGCTTGTTTATGGTACAAAACTTCCGGTACTCTGATCTCGGCACCCTGGCTAAGATCAAAGCCTCCACCTCATCAAGGAGGGGAGGAATTGTATAATCTGCATCCTGCGGTTTACGTGGCACAGTTCCTAAGGAACCGGAACCATCAACTTCGAGCCCAAGTTGTCGTGGATATTTAAATTCACGGCGGCTCAGGCTTTGATTTCCAAGCTTTTCTCCGGCATTATTACTAGCAAACACCCATTTCTTACAACTGAGAACATTATTATTGCATTCATCTCTACACAACCCCCTGCTTTCTTCTCCTCCTCCTCCTTCTGCTGCAGTACCCTCCATTTCTTTTTCTCTAGACATTGACTCCTTCAAACCCTCAAACCCTCAAACCTTTGAATCCTTGGCGATTTCAGAGAACTGGAGAACAAAATCCAAGAAATGATGATCATAAATTAGGTCACTATGTGCACTAATGATATCATAGTTAAAACAAATAAATAAATAAGAAAGCAATACGACTCAAATTAATGATTAGAAGAAACAATAGTTTGGGCAGTAATTTCGGGGGTGCATTCAATTGAGAATGTCGGAGACTTTAATGGATTTTTATGGAGTTTAATTGATTTGTAGAGATTCCATATAAGATTTTGATTCATTTCCCTCGAAATCTCATGGGAAGATGTGAGATTTGTGGATACTTAAAATACACTACGAAATCTTTTCAATTCTCTCTAATTCCTCAACTTTCTCAAATTCTTTAAAATCAATTTCTAAATGAATACACCTGAAATGTTATAAGCTTTTTTAAAATCCTAATTGAATACATCCAGATTTCTAAGGATTTTAACAAACTATCTTAAAATTCTAATTGAATACACCTTGAAGAATCACCTAAAATCCTGATTGAATACCCTTAGATTCATTAAAATAATTAAAATCCCTCAAAATTCCAATTGAATGCACTCCTTCATTTTCTTAAGAAGAATCTTATTCTCCGAGGGCAAAAAGCTGAAAATTTTACTTGAAACAAAGCTGCCTTTCAAACATATAAATTACGGGTTGCGATTTTCCCACTCATTTTCTTCTTCCGCAACCCTTTGTTTGTTTTTGTCCATTAATTTTCCTTATTGTTATTCAATCATACCACTTGGAAAAAAATGATAGAGAATGGAAGTAATATGAAATTTACCCACATATATAAAGACAACTAGAGATGCCTCAAATAGTATTATAAATATATAATTTGCCCAGATAGAGGTTTTGATCAATATCCAGTAAACAGAAAGCAACATATATATATACAGAAAAGTACCTTAAATTGAGCAGACTGCAAATAAACAGAAGATAAATATTGCAGAGAGATAATACCAATGAAAATTAAAAAAAAAAAAAAAAAAAATAGGGAAGAAAGCGTAGTAATACCAGGGAGTCAACCTTCAAAATTAAAGCAAAGAAAATGAAAGAAATGAAAGGTGGTGGTGTGTGGTCTATCAGCCCAATTAATCTCTAAGGATCAAACTTTGTGCCGGCGAGAAGAAAACCAAGTGATTGAAGCAGCAGCGACGGAGGAGAGAGAAGGATCAGAGGAGAGAGAAAGGATGGAAGGAGGGAGGCCATCAAGGCACAGAGAAAAAAATGGGTGGTAAGAGTGGAAGAGGAAATGAAGTAGAAGCAGTGTGATGGAGTTGAATATGACTCCCCATTTGCTTGGTGCAGGGATTATAATACACCAACAATATTATTTTAGTTATCATCACCACCACAACACCACCACCAACATTTTTAGAGAGAGAGAGAGAGAGAGAGAGAGAGAGATCAGTATTTACTGTATTGTATGGTTCTTTTGTATACTGGGTGAGTAGGAATGGCAGCCGGAGTCGTTTCATGTAAACTACGCGTGTTATAACACTAGTAGATGAGTATTATCAAGTGAAGTGTTGTGACAGTCACACTAAAAATGTTATCTTGCTCCGGAAAAATGGTGCGGGTTAGATCAACTAACACAAAGAAGATACATTTCTTCACGATTGAAACAAGTGATAAGATATGCATGTTTAAATATACTTATGTAACTAGCATGCGCATCTATAATAATGTTACCTAATTACAATTAGGGTAATCGTAATTGGGATTTTAACTCATATGTATTATACATAAGAGGGAGCTCACATGTACGTTCTAAGCAATATACCTATAACCACATCTTCTCGAGAAATTTTTTAATGTGTCAGAACATGACCGAGTACACCGGCGCACTGAAAAATCTCTTTATTTTCTCAAACCAAATAATATTTAAGATTTGATAAATATTGTTTTGGGTTAATATAGTATACCTACTTCTCTAGGACCACTACGTCGGTCCAAGTTGGCTTGCACTGATCAAGAGCATCGATAAAGCTAATTAACAATTCATATCTGAATAATTTAATGGCCATCAGTAAACTGCTAATCCATTCTTTAATCAAAGGATTTGTGCTGCCTGTCCACTGATTAGTGATTAGCATCATGGATTTGCACTTTCGTCACTAAAATATTTTCTAATTAGTATTCTAATCAGGTTTCAGAGTCGTGTAGCATTTTTGTTCCAAATAAAATATGAGAAAAGCAAAGTATGGCATTGGCTGCAGCAGAGGGAGGTTAATTAATCAGCTTTCAGCCCCTCAATTTAGTACCATAAAGCAAACCAGACAGACACACTCATTCATCTTTTAATTGGTTTAATTATATTTACTTATTTATTTTGGTAGAAAATTGGTTTAACTAATAACTATATATATTTAGCACCAAATGTATCTTCCAGTACACATGACATTAATCAAGGGAAACAGTAAAGGAGTATTTGGATTTACCAAGAATTGGGTATGCACGTCAGCATGTGGCATGAATTGCTTCAAACATGATGATAAAGCAATGTTTGAGTCACATTATGCAGAAAGTGGATAACGTAATTGATATATTATAAATGAAAATGCACATTATTAGATATTTTTGTAAATAATTTAATGTGGCAATTGATAGTTTAGCTCCTTTTTAATGATCTAAAGGAGGTGTTCAACCATTAACCGTGACAACATATGATTTACAAAAGATGATTTAAAATTTTGATATCTTTATCATCACCTTTTATAAAATATTACAATATCACGTTGTATTTATTGTAACTCGGAATGAACGAGTGAGATTTAAAGAAATATATCATATCTTTTACTACTTTATCTACCTCATTAATATTTTGGTGCACTGAGAGCCCCAAGTATTGTACACTTGATGTTTAAAGCATATTACTACTTGAAATATGAGAAATTGAATAAGAACCATATCAAAATGATTCGTACGGATCGTTGAAATACATTACAATGTGAACTGTACAAAAAAATGTGTAAAAATAAAGTGTCACAGATCCGTCTCTGTTTGTCTAAATGGATAAAACCCGAACTCATGACGGGTTATAAATGGTTAATATCCACGTAAGTCCCCAAACATGGTCCGATCCAGTTGATGGGGAACCACTGTTTCTAGCCAGGGCTCTCACTCTCACTCTCAGGTCATGACTGTCTAGATCCAATGGCCCAATTTTGAAGTCCATCGCACAGATTGTATCTTAGTGGGTCCAGTCCTATGTTCCCTCCGGAAAAAGTAGACAGAGATAAACAGCAAAATAAGAAGGTCGACAAGTCTCACCAAAGTCAGCATCCATGGCTGCCTCATCCGCTCTCTGCAACTTGTTCTCCTTCCTCAGCCTCACAAAACCATCGCAACCCAAAATCCCACCGACCCAGCTCTCCATTTTACAGACCCAGAAGCCCAGAGATGGGTTGGTCCCACTGCCAGCCCAAGGGGCCCACTCTGCTGCTGCTGCTTCGTCGATAGAGTCTGTGATATGCCCCTCTCTGGCTCACGCCAGCGTCCTCTTCTTCAAGTCGGCGTACAATGTTCAGGTGATTGTCGACGACAACGAGCCCGAGGAGCGGCTGCTCGGCAGGTTCCCGCGGGAGGTCATGAGGGCCGGCGTTATTCAGGAGGTTAAGAGGAGGAGGTACTTTGAGAACAATCAGGACGAGAAGAAGCGCCGGACTCGCGACGCCGCAAAGCGAAACAAGAGAAGGTCTGTGTTCCAATTTCTGCTTGTGATGAAGTTTTGTCCTGCTTTTCATTTCTTTGGGTTAGTTACCCCCCCCCTTGAAAATGGTGCTCGTGTTTTTTATCAGCCGGCGTCCCTTTTCAAAACCCTTTCAGCCGGAAATACCCGAAACCAAGAAGAGCGATGACGATGGAGATAACTGGGATCTTCCTCAAGGAGACATACCCTACTGACCACATTCTGCCCGGCCCTTGATTTGTAGGAATATCTACCCATGTTTAGAGAGGCTTTGGTCCATGTAAGTTGTATAAGAGTTAGATTCAGTTTTTTTTTTTTTTTTTTGGTCAAAGAGTTACATTCAGTTCAGTTATTCCTTGATCGACTCCAAGCACAACCGATCCTATATCTTAATTTAATAAAATTGAAAATTTTCTTTCTTGCTTCTGTGTGAAGGATACTTGATGTGAATTCCAATGCTTTTACCCACCTAATTGTGTTGTCTTACCCCAGTTAGGTAGAGTAATGATACACTTATCATATTTTTCATACTACATTTGTGCCACGTCTCTAAAAGCGATAGGGTCTGTCAACACGTGTGGATCTCATCTCTATTAGAGCGGTGGTACAAATGTAGCATGTAAAATATAGTAAGATTAGTATTTTTGTTCTATGTACCAATTGCAATCTTAAAACCATTGCGTAGACGAACGCATATGATAGATGTCTAAAGCCTAAGAACCAGACAATTTGGATCATTCAAATTGAATTCGACAATTTTCATTAACTCATTCCGCTGACTCACTTCACACAAACCAAAAGTTCTGATCTCTCTTTCACACAAATCAATAGATCAGATTCTTAATTTTTATGATCTAGACAATAAGATCCAGAGAAGATCCAAATTCAAAAGCATACGAGGAGCACCGGTGAAAAAGCCATTAGAGGAATATATTTTTTTCATCTCTCTCGATGAAATGACTCAGTTTTCAAATTTGTAATGGGATTAGTGGAAAATAATAGATGGAGGGTAAATCATGTTAGTGATGTGGAAGATTACATACAATCCCTTGCAAATCTTGGTCTAAGAATAGAGGGTTTACATACACTGTTCAACACAAAATTTCACTTTCTATCTTTATTTTTCTATACAAAGTGATTTTTTTATTTGATCTTATATAATTTAAATTATGATGGGGAGATTCAAATGTGCGTGTAAAAAGAAAAAATACATTATTCTAACCAAATCAATTAGAGTATGATATTCTAATATAATATACAATCGATATTATACATGGAACGGTCGAATACAAGACTTTTGTCAAAGATATAATAACTGATTGACCGCATGATCCACAAACTCTTACAAAATTCAATAAAAAAAAATATGATTGCAGTTGATTTCAAGGTAGATATAATTCTATATAGCGGATCATGGATAAGGTTTATCAACTAAATAAATAAATGTACCAATTTCAAATTTTGAGATCCTTAATTCTTATAGGGAATTGTTATTGGCACTCCAAAAATCTCATTTTACACTCCAAACTTTCTATATTTAGAAAGAAAAACACAATTGTAAAGAGTGTAAAATGAGATTTTTGAAGTGCCAATAATACTTCTCTTCTTATAAATCAATGTTACCTTCTTTCTATCCATGAAATGACAATGAGTTGATATCCCTTAATCCTTGAGATTATACAACTAACGAAGAAATGACATGGTCCTCCAAATAATGGAAAATTCAAAACTGTATTCTCAGAGATCCTTTCTTGAATCACGTGAAGGATTAGCAGGTTAATTAGTAAGGATATTGATTCTTTTCAGATTTCATTGTTCAAAGCCTAAAAATCATTCAATTCCATCACTCAGATTGAATTTGACAATTCTCATTAACTCATCTCACACAAATCAAGAGCTCTGATCTCTCTTTTACACAAACCAAGGGCCCGATTTCCTGATCCTTAGGCTCCGGATAGTAAAGTTCGGAGAGGATCCAAATTCAGTTAGTAATGATTTCATAGTTAGAAGACCGACCTACTAGTTTTCTATATAAACCAGAAAAGTGATTACAAACTAAACACACTTTGATATTCGACCAAAGAAGCAAAAGCAGAAGCAGAAGGGGCGCAATCATTCATTCAAGTATTAGGATCATGGCGGAGTCCAATACCAATAATAATAATGCTGGGTTCGTGGTTAGTCTCCTTAAGCCAAATTAATTATCTGTAATGGGTGCTTAATCAATCATATATATTTCATCTTAATTAACTTGTTTGGATTATGTATGTGTTCATTTGTAGACTTGTGAAATTAAACTGGATACTCGTTCGTCTGGATGGCACAAGACCATGATCAAAATTTTGATTAGCATCCGGGGTACCTGTATGTGTGTGTGTGTGTGTATATATATATATATATGCTTATAATTTTCAAATATATTATAAATATTTTTTTTCACTCTTTTGCTCCTTCTGCAGACTCGTTTTTATTACCTAATTAAGTTACTATAATATTGTTTATATTTTTATGACTTGAATGAATGAATGAAGGAGTATCATACAGCATTGATGCAGAAGCCGGAATGGCATATGTGGCGGGGACAGTGGATCCCAACACCCTTCTGACGAGTTTCGCAAAAGCAGGGAAGCATGCACAGCTGCTCAGGGTGCATTCTGATTCGGGACACCACCGTCATCACTTCTCCACCTCCGTCGGTAATAGTAGTACTGGTAATGTGAACAGGAGTGTGAAACCACCTCCACAGGACAATCAATACAGACTTGGAGATGGCGGTTCCGGTTATGGTTATGGGTCTAAGTCTAACCAATACAGACTTGTAGACGGCAGTTCTGGTTATGGTTATGTGTCGAAGTCTAACCAATACGAACATGATCGAAGCCTTGTAACAAAAACACATCACTACCACCGACCGCCACCATTGGAAAGAGACTCCGGCCAGTGCTCCATTATGTGATCACACGTAGCTGATGACAGTGAATAATAAAAACACCATGCCCTAAACCCTAACACATAAATGGTGCCTATTAGCTACAATTATCTGAGTTTGGGATATTTGTTTTTCCCTTCTTCCAATTTTTAATGGGATGTTAGCTTTTGTCTAGAAACAAAAAAGAAAAAAGAAAAAAAAGAAAAAGGATGTTAGCAGGGAGTTTGTGTTTGCAATTTCTCCCGATTATTAGAGGAGAGTATGTAGAATTTTGAATGGAATTTCGTTGAGTTCTACATATATATGTAATCTTGCAGACTTTACTGGAAATTTATATTTGAATTTCGATTTTTGTCTTTACCTTTTGGCTGCCTTTTCTTTCTTCTAATCATATTTCTTTTTCTTTTTAGTTTAGGAAGTTCATATTTCATATTAATCACTTTATCTCAAGTACTCACCAATTATAAATCATCAAGTGAGGAAGATATGTATCGAACTATATTAGTTTAAGGGTACCTCGCACACACTCTTTGTTAATTTTTGGTATTTAATTTTTTCCAATTCATTAATCTGAATGTTGAAATTGAGAGGGTATTGAGAGGTAAAGATTTGGTGTGTGGATATTGGATAGCACCACCCTAGTTCAAAATCAATTCAAAGTTGTATCTTTTATATCTTGCACGTTCAAATTTGAATGCTATAATTTTGATGAATATTAAGATCTCACTTTTACAGATATAGGTTTAAAATATCCAAGATTGTATGATTACTGTCCTTAAATTCAAGTTTGAATTCTATTACCAATAAGTTAAAGTGATTTAAAATGTATTTAGCCGATCTTATAAAAAGAAAGGTTTCATTTTCAAGTTATTTTTATATTTTCACCAAAATATAAGAAGTTTTATGGTTGATCAGTAATTTCAGTTTATTTTCATCAACTACTATTCAACGGCTTAATGTGCTCCAATCATCTACGACAAGTTTGAGATCATATGATTCATGCATGCATGTACCTTACTTCTATACAACACCGCAGTTTGCTAGCATTGCATGTCATAAGCTTCACCATTGTGAGAAATTTTTTAGTCTGATGAGGACATAGATTGATACATTAAAAAATTTATCCGCTACCGTTCGTCTTGGCTGAAACCCCCACCGAAATGTGACGTGGTCAAGAAATTTATTTGCATTCCAAATTTATAATTAATCATTTTTCATAAAAATTCATGTCCTAACATATACACATCATTTGTTAAGTATGTGATACAAGATGTGGTCTTCCACACTCTATTGCCATGTGCACAACACACAGTAATTAATAGGAAATAAGTGAAAGAAAAAAAAATTGTTAAGTAAAGTCTACATAATTTACTTAGTTTTTGGCATACAAGCGTTATTATTAATTTATTAACGTCAAATCTTTCATATTTCTCAATGATCAAGAAAGAGGGATTCAAATTTGAATTTGGATTAATTAAAAAGCGTTTTCGAATGTTTGGATTAGAATTATTTTAAATTAAGTAAAGCATTTAAAGCAATTTCCATATCAAAATCTTGAATTCTTTTAGAATACTTTTGTTCCTCTTTTTTGCTGTCTATTTCTTCGATACTTTAAAAGAAAAAAAATATTCAACCACATATTATTGATTATTTTTATTGCTATATTTAACCAAATAATAATTTATTTTCCTACTAAAATCTCTCAATGTTTAAATTCATTTTATAGCTATCTAATAAAAGTTTTTTTTTCAACAGAAATAAAAGATTATAAAAACACAATAATAACTAATAAGCTATGTAACAGTTCAATATAATTTTCAATAACTCTTTTCTTTTTTTTTGGGTAAAGAACTAAAGAAATTTATTTCATCGTAATTTTAAGTAATTACAAAATTATGAATAAGGTACAAGAACACTACATTAATCGCGAGCAAAATGGATTGGTGAATTTGTCACAGTCCACAGAATTTTGGCCATGAAATCTCCTAGATATATATATTTTACTCTTCATGAAAAAATGGTCCTCAAAATAGAAAAATGTATTCTGAGAGATACTCTGCTTGAATGGTGTGAAAGAATATACCCTAAAAACTTACCTTACTTGGTTGAAATCTGTTTGATTGGTTATTAGTAACCCATATAATTATTTTCAAAAATACCAAACAAATCTTACTCCTTAATTGCTAGACAACCTACCTACACCTCCTCTATATAAACCACCCAACAGTACCATAGCTTTTGTCTTTCAAGACAAAACACAGCACAATCTTTCAAGTTTTCTGCAGAAACCTAGCAATCTGTTATTTTTCTGATCATGACTGAAACAACCGATACTGGTTTCATGGTTAGTGACTTTTAGCAAACCCTAGTTTTCTCCCTCTTTTTCTTTTCCATGTGATTTCATTTTCTTTATTAACTTTGCCTAGATGGGTTGCTTATATTTTATGATTTCGCAGAGTTGTGAGTTGAAAGTGGATACGGGTGCCCCCGGATGGCATAAGACCATGACCAAAGTTTTGAGCAAAATCAAGGGTACGTACAAAAAGATATATCATGTAGTTCTTATGATTTATTATTCTTATCTCCACAAACCGCTAATATTGCCCTAAAGACATCCGAAATTTAATTTCAACGGAAATTTGGATGGAATCATCATTTCATAAATTAAATTGGATGAGAAAAAAACTTTGGCCACCAATTGACATTTGGAGAAAATTTCAAGGAAAAAAACAACAGTTTACCCCTTAAATGAATTGCATCTCTTGCATTGCTTGAATTACGTATATAAAAAGAGTCTTTTTGTTTTTGAAGATCTGAGTTTATGCTTTTTTACTGGAAAACGATAGATTATATGTTAATCTCATTGTTCTTGAATCTCTACTGTTTAATTTAATTAAATTTTGATTTGATTATAATTAAGGAGTGTCTTACACCATCGATACTCAAGCCGGAATTGCTTATGTTTCGGGAACAATTGAAGCAGACATGCTTCTCAAGTTATTAGCAAAATCAGGGAAGCATGCAGAGCTGCTCAGAGTTGATTCAGGATACAAGCATCAGTTCTACGAAGCCAAACCTGTTGCCAATTACAGAACTGGACAAGGCTATGGGGACTATTACAATAACAATCATGATTACGGATATTATGGTCACAATGGAAGCTATGGAACAACAATTCCTTACCACCAGCATTCTCAGTACTACCCTAGTTACCATGAGACACGGGCAACCCTGCCGGCGCTGAGGTTTCCGCAGCCGCCTCCTCCAATGCAGGTCCATCCATTTTATGATCCGGACAGCCAGTGCACTATTATGTGATCAGCTAATAATGAAATTAAAATGCCATGCTACTTAGGTTTGGTGTTTTTATTTCATAGCTATATTAATATATATATATATATATATATATATATCATGATGCCCAATACATAAAATAAATGGCCAAAAACATTTTGTTTTCCCCTTATTCTTCAATATTTGGGAGATTAAGGGTTTGATGATTCGGTTTGCCATTCTCCAATTATTAAAGGAGAATGTTGAATTTGAATGGAATTTTACATATATATGTATAATTATATGTATCAGAAGTCAGGGTTTGAGTGGACTTGTCAATTGTATTTGAAGAATTTAGACTCCAACTGTAATCGACTTTCTGTATTTTATGCTAAGTAATATTGAATTTTGCTTAATTGTGTCGTAAGTTTTGGGTAATTGCTTTTTGCTCTCGCAATTGCTTCATTTTGATTTTGTTGATCGACCTCACTGGTACAAAGAGAGGTTTGTTAATTTTTGGAATCAAACAACGGAGTATTGATTCTCTTTTTTATTACACAAGGTGATTTGTTACTCGTTCATTGGGGGCAGGATACGATGCTGTTGATTCTCAATAAACTATAAGGATGCTGCTAAAGAACTCATACACATGCCCCTCAATCTACACTCCAAACCTCGCAAAAACGTACACGTTTATCAATTGAAACTTGTTTAGTTTGGTTTGAAGGCCTCCTTTGATGTACATCCCAGACTCGAATTCTACTTGAGTTTCATTTTTAATGAAAGCTATCATGTTTTTTTTTTTCTTTCAAAAAGTTTGCAAAAACTAAATTGAAAACAGAGCTAATCACGATTTTTAATTAGTTTGCAAATTTGTACAATACCATAATAACATCTATTTGTGCGACATGGTCATTGCATCGCAAGCTTCAGAAACCACTTCTACGTTTCTAACTTCTACATTTCTAACACGTAAAATATTTGTAAAATATCCTCATTTTATTTATTTTTGTTCCATTTTTGTGGAGACATGAGTCGAGTCAATGGTAAAATTAGATAAGTTGTTAAACAAGTTTTATATGTAAAAGAGAAAAATGTGTTAAACATCTCTAGCGTTCACCTAATTACAAAACAAAAACAAGAACAAGAAAAAAAATTATCCACTTGTTAGTGTGGCTGCTGGGATTCGAGCCCAGGTCTCCACGGCCACAACGTGGAATTCTTACCACTAAACTACAGCCACAAGTTGTCATTTGATCACATTTATGTTATATCTTGAAGACCCTAGAATATACTTATGGGTATAGATATATACCTTTGAAAATAGAGAACTTTAACGAAAAATTCCCGGTACTATTCACTTTAACAAAAAATCATATTTTTACACTAAGAGCATCTTCAAAGGAAATGTCAAAATTGCTACGTAGCATACAACAGTAAAAAGTGGCAACAGACTCTCTCCAACCGAGCCTTCAATTTCTTAGGTGGCTCTGAGTCATTTGAAGTCAAAGGTTTTTGCTGTCAAATTTGACAGCAAATGTCAAATTTATTAAATGATATTTCAATAGATTAATATAATATATAATAAATGTTGTTATGTTTTTTAAATATTTGATTGGTTGCCTTAATCATTAGACTCCACAAAAAGATAAAAAGTTTATTAAATAACATTATTATTTAACATATCAGGTGGAGCAAAATATTGTACAAAATGTCAATTTGCCACATAGGGTATCAACTATCATTTTGATGTTTAAAATTTGACATTTCATTTGGAGATACTCTAAAAAATCAATATTAGTACTATTCACTCTACTCTTTATTTTGTCCTTATCCTTAAAACTCAAAGTTTTCAAACCATTTTCATTGGTTTTCCTTTGAAAATAAGGGGCTTGAATTTTATATATTTAAATTAAGGTCAAAATCTCCGTTTAGGGTTTAAAAGATTAATCGTTTAAAAAAAATGAGAGTTATAATTGACACTCTAAAAATTTAATTGTGTACTTTTTATAAGAGTGTTTTTCTTTCTAAATGAAAACAAATTGGGCGCACAATTAAGTTTCTGAAGTACTAATATGAATAATTTATATGAGACAGTCGAAATTTGATCGAATTTAAACATGAAGAAAACAAAAATTCCAAAATTATAGGTCCTAATTTTTGTTTATTAATTTATTTTAATTTATTCGATTCTATCATAAAAAATTAAGAAAAATATATTAGAGTTTAAAAAGATACATCAATAGCATCGTCCAATAATTTAGTGGCCACGGGTTTCGTCGACAAATATACAAAATCCAAATTTTAGATTCTAATGATTGAAATTGACAAGTTGCCTTTTCAATCACCCCAAAGGTCACATTTGATGCCCACCCTTGATTTGTATGATCCTAGGGTTAGATGTTGACACATGTGTCTGCTCAATTGGTTGACTGGCTGTCACATTTTGTGCAAATCTATCTTTCCAGATACGGCAGAATTTTGAGAAGTTTCAGATCACAAATCATGTGTAAGGTGTATGTATCATTTGATTATTGTCAACGGAGTCGATAGCAAGAGAAACTTGCATAAAATTATTTTAAATATAATATCGTATTATTAAAGTGGAGCAACACATGACAAAGACATTTTATGTAAATTCTTCTTTGTCAATATGGAACATCCAAACACAACTCACTGTGCATATTTTTGCAGGGAGGCCTCTTGTGCAGATTATCAATCCAGTAACTGTATTTGGGCTAAGTATGTCTTACGCTCATAAAGTTTGAACTGATTTTACGTCTCTTTGTTAATGAATGAAATATCGTACTCTTTTTAACAAAAAAAAAAAAATCATACTATTTTTTTTCTTGTGACCGAAAGATCATGAGTTCGAGTTGTGAAAACAGTTTCTTTGCAAAGCAAAAATAAACTGCGTACGATAGATATTTTCTAGACTTCTGCAAAGCGGAAAACCCTTATCACTTAGGGTCGCCTTTTTTGTCAAAAGACTCCGTCTATTTTTCATAATTAATTATACATGTGATATGCATGGGCATATATAATTATATATAAGAGCAGTGCCACTGTTGCCATGTATCATTTATGTACAAAATCAAACAAGTGCCTATCGATACGTATTACTTTAATTATACAGTATAATATGGACTGCGTGATACCAGCAGTTCTTTGCTTCTAGCCAAATCTAATATCCTAGTCAATACGTGTAGCAGGATCACTTCAGACTGAGAGTTTGAGAGCTCTCTGTTTCTCTCGCTCTGCAGCTTCCATGAGCCCGATGGAGGAACACTCGAACCAATACGCCGAAGCTGCAGTTCCCCAAACCATGCAAGAAACTGGTGCAGAAGAAAGAGATCCGGAGAGCATTGCTCTCCACCAACCACTCCTCCTCAAGAGAAACCGGACAGTTTCTTCCACTCCACTGGCTATGGTTGGAGCCAAAGTCTCCCATATCGAGAGCTTGGACTACGAGTAACGACTTGAACAACCTGTTTCTAGTTTTCCATATCGAAAAGAAGAACCTGAATCCTTATTATGTTGACCTTCTTCACATTGAATTGAAGTTGGTTTGATGCAGGATCAATGAGAACGATCTGTTTAAGCATGATTGGAGAAGCAGATCCAAATTCCAAGTCTTGCAGTATGTATTTTTGAAATGGATCCTTGCCTTCCTTGTTGGACTCCTAACTGGTATAATCGCCACCCTCATTAACCTCGCTGTTGAGAATATTGCCGGCTACAAGCTTCTTGCCGCGGTTAGTTTCATTGAGAAGGGAAGGTTTGTTGCAATCCAGATATTATATTATAGTCTGTAGAAATGCCTATGATCGCATAAACAATACGGGAATCGTGTGGTGTAGGTACCTGATGGGGTTCATCTTTATAGCCGGGGCCAATCTTCTACTGACCGCTAGTGCTTCTGTTCTGTGTGTATGTTTTGCTCCGACTGCAGCTGGACCCGGTATACCTGAAATCAAAGCATATCTCAACGGAGTTGACACACCGAATATGTTTGGTGCGACAACAATGATTGTCAAGGTTGATTTTCATTTTTCAATTGAACATTGGTTTCATATAATTTCATAATTTATTAAGCTAAGTGGCACAAAAACTTTCATCTTGCAGATATTCGGAAGCATTGGGGCTGTCTCTGCAGGCCTAGATCTTGGAAAAGAAGGGCCTCTTGTGCACATTGGAAGCTGCATTGCTTCCTTATTAGGTCAAGGGGGACCTGACAATTACCGTATTAAATGGGGTTGGCTCCGCTACTTCAACAATGACCGTGACCGGCGAGATATCATTACCTGTGGTGCTGCCTCTGGGGTATGTGCAGCTTTCCGAGCTCCTGTGGGTGGTGTACTGTTTGCCCTTGAAGAGGTGGCAACTTGGTGGAGGAGTGCCCTTCTCTGGAGAACCTTCTTCAGCACAGCCATTGTGGTTGTGGTGCTTAGAGCTTTTATCCAAATATGCAATTCTGGGGAATGTGGGCTTTTCGGGCAAGGAGGGCTTATCATGTTCGACGTAAGCACTGTTACTGTAACATACCATGCGTGGGATATCATCCCCGTAGCTGTAATTGGCATTATTGGTGGAGTTTCGGGAAGCATGTACAACTATCTTCTCGACAAGATCCTCAGACTATACAGTCTCATAAATCAGTAAGCAACCCTAAACCAAATATGAAAACTGACACACCACAATGTCAATTCGATACTAATTACTTCTTGGTTTACTCTTCGGGCAGGAAGGGAAAAGTTCACAAGCTGCTCCTCAGTCTCACTGTTTCACTCTTTACTTCTGCATGCCTATATGGTCTCCCTTTCCTTGTCAAATGCACACCCTGTAACTCCTCTCTCTCGGAGTCCGTCTGTCCCACCAATGAAGGATCTGGAAACTACAAAAAGTTCAACTGCCCAGATGGCCACTACAATGACCTAGCTACTCTTCTCCTTGCCACCAATGATGATGCAGTTCGAAACATCTTTTCGACAAACACTTCCGCTGAGTATCGTCCCTTATCCCTCCTAATCTTCTTCGTACTATATTGCATCTTAGGATTGTTTACCCTTGGAATTGCTGTGCCATCTGGACTTTTCCTTCCCATCATCCTTATGGGCTCAGCTTATGGCCGTCTGCTTGGAATTGCCATGCAATCATATACGAGCATTGACCAGGGGCTTTTCGCTGTTCTTGGCGCAGCTTCCCTAATGGCAGGGTCAATGAGGATGACCGTTTCACTATGTGTCATATTTCTTGAGCTCACCAACAACCTCCTCTTACTGCCCATAACAATGATTGTCCTCCTGATTTCCAAAACAGTTGGAGACAGTTTCAACCAGAGCATCTATGAGATTATACTGCACTTAAAAGGTTTGCCTTTCTTGGAGGCAAGTCCAGAACCATGGATGAGAAATCTGACAGTAGGTGAGCTCGCTGATGCCAAGCCGCCAGTAGTCACCCTCTGTGGAATTGAAAAGGTGGATCGTATTGTGGAGGTCCTGCGAAACACCACACACAATGGTTTCCCTGTTGTAGAAGAAGTGGTGCCGCCAATGGGATTGGCTGTTGGGGCAACAGAAGTACATGGACTAATTCTTCGAGCTCACCTTGTTCAGGTGCTGAAAAAGAAATGGTTCCTAAGAGAGAAAAGAAGAACAGAGGAGTGGGAAGTAAGAGAGAAATTTACCTCGGTTGAGTTGGCCGAGAGAGAAGAGAAGATCGAGGAGGTGGCTGTGACAAGGGACGAAATGGAGATGTATGTAGATCTGCATCCACTCACCAATAGAACACCTTACACAGTTATGGAAGGCATGTCTGTGGCAAAAGCTATGGTTCTTTTCAGGCAAGTGGGACTTCGCCATTTGCTCATTGTGCCAAACTATGAAGCATCAGGGGTGAGTTTAGCAATCATTCTCGTTTTACTAAACACCATGTACTTGTTAACGAGCGTTACAACTTGCACACGAGCATATTTATTCTGTCCATTGAGCATAGTTATTAAACATGGTACACTAAAATTTTTGTAAAGGCCAATATCACTAACCTCGATGTGTGCTCCATTTGTAGGTGCCTCCAGTGGTTGGGATCTTAACCAGGCAGGATTTAATAGCCTACAATATTTTGAATGCCTTTCCACATCTCACAAAATCTGCAGGCAGCGAGAAGGGGAACTGAAAACGTCTTCTCCTCAGCCAACGGAACTAGCAGCTTTCCTGGTGGAAGACAATGCATTCTTCATTTTAAAATTTTTCTACCAATTATTTATTCTTTTCATCCAATTCAAAAGGAGTCAGGTAGATATACAACAAATTGCAATTTCATTCATCTCTAACTATTCATTTTACACAAGTTTCAGCCGATGGTGAACAAAATCCCTTTCTACAAAAGGGAAAGAAACACAGAAGATTTGGTTTTGTTACATTCTCTCTACTAGATACTCCCACTAGTCTTCTTGTAATAACCCCAGAATAAAGTTCAAGCGGCCATCAAAGTTCAAGCAATCATCACTGAAAGTCACTACAAAATCCTACTTTCAGAATTGTTTACAAGCGTTTCTTCTGCTTTATTCCCGTTCTCTTTTTCTTTGGGCTTCCTTGGCCCCTCTTGAACACAGCTAAAACCTCGATGCTGCAATCATGGCAGAAGAACATTTATCATGCACAAATGGGAAAAAAAATAATCTGGAAATGAGAATATGTATCAAATTAAAAGTATAATATATGCTACATTTAATTTAGTCATTCAAACAGCTTGGATTTTCTGAGAAGTCTGCCTCGATAAGAACCAGGAAGAAAAAAGTATTTGAAGGAAATGTTGGCAATCTTGATAATATATCACAAAAATTAGTTATCCAGAATTTCGACCCAATTGAAATGTAACGAGATGCTTCATATATTGGAAAGGAGACAGGAGTCAAAAGAGAAGAAACTGATACATACCTCTGGGTTCCAGGGAAAAAATTATAGCCATGGGCTTTTTCCAAGTGCCATGCCTTGCTAGACAACAAATCCTTGCAATCCTGTTGAAACATTAATCCCTAATTAGGTAGAGGAAGAAAAGTTAACAATAAAGTAGACGAAGATGGGATGGAATAATCAGAGCAGAGAATAATCTAATTTCATGAAATATCATAGCAACAACTTTATACCTCTTTGAAGCTTTCCCATCCACAACTTATATAAATAAGGGTTTGAGGCCATGATTTACTATCTTCTGAAGTAACTTCGCTTCCGATCTGAACTGAAGCTTCTTTTGCACGCAGCATCCATGGTCTCTTCTCATCCTTACCCCTTGAGCTTGAACTGAGTTGACATATAAACGAGCTGAATTAATTATCCACAAGGATCACCAGTGAGGTCCTTCACTTCAATATTTTGAGTACAGAAATGGCCTAACCTATCTGAGGACGACTTAGCTTTACGCTTTGCTGAAGCTATACTCTGCAATGCATCAACAAGAGATGCATCCAGTCCCTTTCTAGGAGGATCAACAACAAGTACATCTGATCCCATGATCCAAGAAAGAGGGTCCTAGGTTATTTGTGAGAAATTTATAAAGTTAGTTCCCAACTATTCCACCGCAATCCTAATGGAATAACAGAGAAATTTGTAAAAATTCCTTTATACACCTTATAATATAGGTATAAAAAGAACTTGGGATCTCTGCATACATGACTCTGGGGTAACAACTTCAGAAATATATGATCATAAACTTTCAAAAAGTTACTATACTAACTTTAGAAGTGTCTGCAAGATGCCAGCTGATGCTGCACTCTACCGAGTTTGGCAGGCGGTCAACTGTCTTCTCAAAGGATACTTTTGATTCTTTGTTAATCTCAATGCATCGAACAGACCTAGACAGCAATTATAACTCCATTTTATAACATATAAAAACAAAAAGAGAGAAATTTTGAGTTTTTATACCAGTGCTTTTACAATTATCCCAATTCTTGCCTGCATTTTCTTGTCACAGCTAATGATAATCCAATTACACCAGCTCCTGCATACAAATCAGCAACAGAAGCTCCCTGAGGGACATATTTTTGTAGCTTCCGGAGCAAGGTATCAAAAGCCTGGAATGGAGTAGCATTAGACCACGAGATAGTGAGTGGAAACTTTTTCAAGAAACAGAAGACTAAAAATGTAGGGATTTCCGTAGTCAAGTTTCAGAAAACAGGTTCAATAGGTGGTTCGCTATTAAACCAAAGGTTCATTCTGTTTACATCTTTCAAATTATGATGCCTTTGAGATTTAAGTATACACTTACTAATATATGACATAATATCTGCGCATTCTAAGGGTTTTCTTTTTCTTTTTTAAGAATTTAAGTGGTTGATACGGCTTTAATTTGCAAGTTCATAATTTGAACGGAAGTTGATGCTGATGGAAATGAAATTATGCATTTGAATAAAATTTGAATAGTTGGGTAATAAATTTAAAATACCCTTGTGTTTGCTTGGCCAAAACTGGACGGAGCCAAGGAAATATCAATTCCTCCAACATGTTCCCAAAAGTCTCTTTCTCCTAAAAGATGTCTCCATCTATTCCCAAAGATTATCTGCATCACCGAGTAACATAAAGTAAATTCAAATAACTTAGTAAAAACTCACTAAAAATAACCCTTTGGACTCACATTGTTAGATGATGTCTGAAAGTTAGCCCATACAGAGTGAATCAGATTGACCGTGCTCCTCGGCCCACCATTTCTCCATATGAACTGGAAACAAGCATGCAGATCATATATTCTTTAATATAATTCTTTTAAAGAAAACATTTACAACAATGAAATGAAGTAGCTAGCTCACATTAGCCAAGGCTTGCAGTTTCTCTGTATTCGGGGAATTTTCGTTTCTTGAATTCCATACTAAAGCTACCTGCACTTTACCTAGAAAGAGACGTAATTTCTAAGTTAATCAGATTTCACATTAAAATTTGTGTATCACACAAAAGCTCTTTCTAGAATAACTCTGATAAATTCAGCTACTAACCATTCTTATATCTTTCGGAAGCAGGAAGGGAAGTATTGTGTGTTGTCACAGCCATCTGCACACAACACCACTATTAATTGAATTCCAAAACATTACAACTTACTAACATGTTTTCCATGCGCATTTTCATTATTTTGAATCACATCAGTCACCTGCACATATCGTAAATCACCCGTCCCCTCATCTTCATCATACGGCTCAACACGTAGTTCAGTAATACCTGAATGTTATACAAATAATAAATGATTCAAGACTCAAAAACTGGAAATGAAAGCACGTAACATTCAGTTTTAATAACCGAAAAGGGACCTTGTTTAAGCAACTCCACAGCGGCATTTATACTTGGATGATGAGCTGCAAAAACAGAAAAGAAAACACAAATTAAACTAAAAATATAGAATAACACTAATCCAAGGATTATATATCAAATATAAAGTCATTAGGATTGGGACCTTTGCATTGAGGAATATCTACTACATTATGAGTTCCCTCCTGATAAAGCCCAATCAGGGGGTTTTCCGGCGAGCCACGAATGGCTAACTTTGCGCGACACCGCCATCCCCACTAACACCAAACCCAGATAATATCAAGATAAAAACCCTAACCAATACCAGAGAGATATTTCTTTTTATTTAAATTTTAAGAAAAGGCAAACTTTACGAAATTAAGGGGAAAAAGAAGTTAAGTAAAGCACCAATTTACAACTGTCAAAAGTGAAATCTGAGACTCCAACTGTCTTGAAGAACTCCGTCGCCTCATCGACGATGACAGGACGGTGGAGATTGAACTCGTGCGTACACCCGGAGCACCTGATTATACACCGAACAGAAAACAAAATTTAAATCAAGACGAACAATAATTATGAGAAAATAAACTAATAGGGATTTGAGCTGAGAGTTACGATTCGAAGTGCGGGCAGTGGAGGGCGCAGGTCAGCGGCGGCGAAGGAGGGGTTGAGCTAGGGCTCAGTGAGAGAGAAGGTAGTGCTGCTGGTACTTGTGGTGGTGCTGAAGCAGACGGCGGGGGATGCACTGCGGTTGGGGACACGTGGCAGGTGATGAGTGGAGGCGGAGGAGGACGGACGGAGAGGAAGCAGAGAGGCATGTTGTCCGGCGGCCGGTGCCCTGTGGCGGGAATGGATAATAGACAAAACAGTTGTTGATGGACTTTGGTAGAACTATCTCAACGGTTAAAAAACGTGAAAGCTGCTAATTACAAAATTTCCCCGGTGTCATAGCAGTTCTTCAATTTTGGTCGTCAAACTTTTTTTGTCCCAAATTAGTCCACGTGTTAATGATGGTAGTGACATTGAATCAACCAATTTGGGTTTGGTTAATTTTGTTCGTTTTCTAGCAGAAATGCCTATTCTTGGACAAAAGTGGTCATATTCTAATACATCAAGGGCGTTTTTAACAAGTATATGAGTTTTTGGAATTCCCTTAAAAAAATGATCACCTGTTATTCAGTCAACTTTTGTAACGAAAGTCACTTCATTTGCATCAATCTTCTTCTGCCAGAGATGAAACCCAGTCGGAAGGATCCACAAGGCCTTGTTTGAGATCGAGAAGGGGTTTCCTCTTAAAATACAAGCATCCCACCTCATGATCAACGCTGCAAAGACGAAAACACTTAAGAGGTGAAAAATTATATGCCGTCGTAGAAAAACTAAGAGGTGAAAGATTTGGACATGGAGTCATCAACCATAATGTTGTTGTTATGAAAAGTTCCCATAACATCTACATTTTCCTCGTTTTATGACACAGCCACTCCTGTGTCTACAGAGATATATAGCCTAAGTGCTGTGAAGATGAAAATTTATTCCCGGTTGTTTTCGGCTTATCATCACCGAAAATTCACCAAACTTTCCGGTCTTGGTACGTCTGAACATTTTCTCGAAACCAAAATTTACAATTATTGTCTTTTCAGGCGCGAACATAATTAGAATTAAAAATTTCACTAATTTTCAATTGTTAAATGGTGGTGTGACTAGAAAATCCCTAATATCAGTTGCCTTCAGTATGTAGATGATACACTTTTAACAGGAAACAACCCTCGACAAATGTCTCGTTCGATCAAGAAGTTGGGGACTTTGTTTTCGATGAAGGACTTGGGTCCTCTCAGTTACTTCTTGGGTGTGGATCCGGAAGTTCAGTACTTTGGCAATCAAATGCATTTGAACCAGGCCAAATATGCATTGGATTTGCTCAGACGTACAAAATTCGTGGATGCCAAACAAATTTCTGCACCTGTTCCTTCTGGACAAAAGCTCATTGAGCATGATGGTGAACCACATGACAATCCGGAGATGTACAGGAGCATAGTTGGTGCCCTCCAGTACTTGACTATCACGAGACAGACTTGTCATATGCCGTGAACCAAGTATGCCAGTTTATGCATTCTCCAAAGAACACACACTGGATGGCAGTCGAGGATTCTACTATGTACAACCATGGCCTTGTGTATAAACCTGGTGGTGAGCGACTCATGGCTTACTGAGATGCAGAATACACGGGAAATCCATACACAGACATTCCCCGGGTGGGTTTTGCATTTATTTGGGTTCGAACTTGGTGTGTTGGAGTTCAAAGAAACAGAAAACTGTATCTAGGTCGAGTGCAGAGGTGGAGTATAGGCAACTTGCCTATACAGCCGCTGAGTTATCTTGGGTAAGGTCCTTGTTCAAAGATTTGCATTTGCATCTTGTTAAACCAACAATATGGAGTGACAATGTGTCTTCCATTGCCCTAGCTTCAAATCCGGTTTTTCACTCAAGAACAAAACACTTGGAGGTGGACTATCATTACGTTAAAGAGAAGGTTGTTCGAGGCCAGCTATTAGTTAATTTCATTTGCTCTCGAGATCAGATTGCCGCTCTTTTTACCAAAGGACTGTTGTCATCACGGTTCAAGTTTCTGGTATCCAAGCTTCCAGTGGTGCCTCATCCTGTCAGCTTGCGGGGGGATGTTAGACCAAGTCCTACTTCAGTGTCTGTTACAACGGTTTCAAGTTGCTGTGATCAACCTCAACACTTATCCAAAAAGAAGCAGCGTAGGTTTACAACTCTTTTTCAAATATTTGAAATATGGTTTTGCAGTACACGTTGATAGGCTTCTGTTGTATCTTTTTTGAATTTCAAACTGTCCTTGTAAGTAGGGTTTTCAATACCCTGGATGTAATCTGAAGTATTATAAATATATGCAAACCATTGTTGCAATGGGTATTGCCATTGAAGGGAAAACCTTGAGTTCGTTAAGTTTTACAACTAATCCTTAGAATGTCTCGCGAAATCAGCAACCAAAAACAATTAGATGTTGCAAGAAAAACACGAGAATTTCGTCTTCCAGAAAACTATGAGTTCGCTGCCTGAATACAATTATGGGAAGAAAAGTAAAATTCCACAACTCATAAGATATTTATGATTCTCTCTTACCAAAATAATAATACGAACAACAAGAAGAAGTTTTCAGGTCTTATTTGCTTTCATATGCTTTCACATTTGATAGTTTCTATGATCTTTTCTTCAGAATGGCTAATACATATGCATACACCTCGTGAGTAAAGTTGAAATACGCACATCTCCAAGACTTCTTGATGACCAAAGTCCCGCAAACTCCCCAGAACCCGAAAAAGAAACCTATCACCATGCTGATTATGAACTACAGCTTATCGAGCTTACTGTCATCATCCTCCCCACCTCCACCTGGAACCTGAGGTGTTTCTTCGTCGCCTTGGCAATTTGGTAATGGATGCCCACAAAGACCCGTATTGCCTTCATAAATGGACTGATCAACGAGGGTTACAAACTGATTACTTCTTGGGATTTCCCCGGACAAGTAGTTGTGTGACAAGTTGAGATGATTCAAAAATGTTAAATTAACCATGCTCTGTGGAATTGGACCTGAAAGTTTGTTGCTCGATAGGTCAAGAGTTTCTATCCACTCCAAGTTTCCGATCTTTTCTGGGATATTTCCTGTCAACTGATTCATGGACAGGTTCAAAGTCCCCAGCCTTGTAAGGCTTGTTAGGCCTAATGGCATCTCTCCTGACAAGTTATTGTCCGAAAAATCGACACTATTGAAGAGGTAGAGGATGGAGTCATATTCGAGCACTCTTCCTTTTGCCACTACCTTCAATCTTCCCTGGTAAAGATAATCTTCTGTAACTTTATCCGTGACTTCTGGTCCGAAGCCAGTTAAGTTACCTATGCAGCGGGGAACATTTCCGGAAATATTGTTGTGTGAGAGGTCCAATATGTGGAGACTTGAAAGGCCACATAACTGGGATGGGATGCTTCCACTAAACGAGTTGAGCCTCAAACGCAAAATCCACAAAGAGGGCATACTTTCTCCTATGGAAGCCGGAATAGATCCAGAGAAATGGTTCTCACCAAGATCAAGACTCCTCATGTAAGTGAAGTTTTTCATGGAAGGAAGCTCGCCCGAAAGGTAGTTGCTAGAGAGTATCAAGAATCTGAGTGAAGTAAGAGAAGTTAAGGATCTTGGGATTGAACCTGAAAGACTGTTATTCGACACATACGATATACAATGATGGCATATTGTCCCAAAAGTCAGGAACCTCACCAGACAACTGGTTATTTGAGATAACCATGGTTGTTAATTGGCTTAGATTACCCAAGGACAGGGGAATGCTTCCATTCAAAGAGTTCCGAGAAACGTCTAGATCCAACAGAGCGGGCATTACTTCACTAATGTCATGAGGAATTGGCCCAGAAAACAGATTATCTCTAAGAGACAACATGGTAATGTTTGATGACCAGAGTGGGAGGGGGCCCTAGAAGCGGTTTGAACGCAAATCAACATTGCCAGGTTTGATAAATCGTAATGAGTTAGGCACCCTGCCGCTTAGCTGATTATAAGCGACATCTAGTTGATCTAATTGGAAATCCAACTGCGAAAACCACTCCGGTATGGTATCTGAAATCCTAGCATTGTTGAGTACCAGAGTGAACAGCTCAGTCTAATTTCTGAGCCATGTAGGAAATTTAGGACCTAGTTGGCATAACCTAATGTTCAAGTATCTCAGTCTAAAGGGAGCTATCCAATCAGAACTAATGTCGAAAACTAAGGAAATGTTTGGAGAAGTGTTACATATTTCAACCTCTCTTAGGCATCTAAGTTTCGTGAAATGAGCTTCTGTAATCGAACCTTCCCATGTGTTTTTCGAGATATGTAGTGTAGTCTGCGACGACAGCTGCCCAAGACTTTCGGAGATGATCCTACTCAGTTGATTGTGTGAAATGTACAACTCCTCCAAAGAGTTCAAGTTTCCGATTGATTTTGGGATCGAACCCTGAAATGAGTTATACCACAAATTGAGGATTCTTAAGCTTTTAAGATTTCCCAAAGAATCAGGCAGTTTTCCTCTCAGGCTGTGATATCTCTAAGCGGCTGTTTGTGCATGTAGACAAACTATCAACGAAATCAGTAATCTCGCCAGTAAATTTGTTGATAGGAAGAATTACCGTCTGCAAACTGCATAGCGTTCCCAAGCTTCTTGGCAACTGTCCTTCAATGTTTGAGTTTTCCGACAAATCAAGCATCCGAAGAGATGTCAAACTGCCAAATGTTTCTGGAAGCGCTCCGTGGAGACTGGTTGAGTGCATTTCCAGGGTGACTAGTTTAGTCAAACTAAACAACCAGGGAGGTAACGTGGAGTTGAAATCATTGTATGAGAGATCGAGAACCGAAAGGGATGCAAAATTCATGGAAGGAAGAGTGAGAGGAAGGACGGAAAGACCACAAGAGGGCAAATGCAATTCAACGAGTGAAGGGAGCATATTGACAGTGGGAAGCCAATTTGAGTTAGCCTTGCTTAGGTTTACTCCTCCGAGGTTTAGGTACTTTAAGGAAGAAAGAGGAGCAAGCCAACAGATTTCATTCGCAACCAGTTCAAAATTATAGTAGCTGAGGTCTAGAGAAAGCAATCTCGAAAGGTTTCCGAGATTGTGGGGAATGACTCCACCGAAAGATGCACTTGAGAGATTGAGGTATTCCAATTTCTCTAGTGATCCAATGAAGCTTGGAATTTGAACACATTTGAAGTTCTTCATGCTCAAATCCAAGTGAATTAAATCATTCAAAACAAGCAAAGAAGGGTTGATCTCACCGCCAAATTCGTGCGCTGTTCCATCCTCACCATCGAAAAATTCATTGCGGAGATTGAGCTTGGTCACACGTCCAGTTACGTAGTTGCAGCCTACGCCGCTCCATTGACAGCAATCTTCTCCCACCCAAGACAAAAGCCGGTCTGAAGGATCTGTGAGACCGGCTTTGAGCTCGAGAAGGGCTTTCCTTTGAGTTTCCTTGCATCCCACGTTAAGATCAGCACTGCAGAAACCAAGTTTAGTGGTTTCAAAGAACAGAAATCCTGACAGTACAATAAGTGAAAAAAGTTGGACGGAAGCACTTCTGTGAACCATACTTCTTATGTGAGCAAGCAATGGGATACTATTTGCAGGTCTCAAGATATCTGCAATATTTAAAGTGTGAAAAAGTATAAACATTGTCATTTTTCTAAGAAGAACTTTCTTAGTCTTCAAGGAAAATGGGGAGGCGCATGGTGTATGGCTGGCCCTTCACAGTCGCTAAACTTCCAAGTCAGTGGTCTTGACTCTTAGTGTCGCGTGACTTCCATTGTGTGGAGAATGAGTGCTACGTTAATGGGAGGAGGGATCTTGCATGAACTTATAAAGAGTTGGGCTACTTCCTATATTGCCAATTGGTTTTATGATGGAACCTAAACTTTCTTTATGGTATCAGAATAGGTTGTCTCACGTGTGAAGTCAAACGGCTACATGTGTTTCACGTCACCCAAATTATGATGTCCACGTGTTAAGCTTGAAAATTCGCCACAACTTTCTTCACATTACACCAGTATAATATTATTGTCTCGTTCTGTGACATATATCTAAAAACATGTATAAATTTTTGTCCGCATGACTTTGTGTTATCGGCACAAAACAGAATGCCAAACCACTATTTGAAGATCAAGGCATACGTTGGAAATCCATTGAAAACGGGTCAAATGGGGTCAATCTTGACACAGCCCTTCCAAGTCAATGATTAGGGCACAGTATCAATCCGTTGGAAGTCTTTGTATTCTGTGGAATTCCAAGTTTCGTGGGATCAATGACAATGACTTTGTAAGTTGAAATTCGCAATTGCAGTCAATAGGATATTAAGGAGAGATTCTTATATATAACCGAGAACAAGACAAATTCTTTTGATAAAGGCAACCTGCAACCGAATAACAAGAATGTCAGAGTATGATGGTACTCGAAGCCAATCAAGCATTCATATGATAAAAATATTTGAGATATTGTTACAATTGCATTCTCGATCCTGAAAAGAGATATGCAAGCCAGACAATGCCCAAATTATCCAATTAATAGGGAATAACACTTGGTTACTCAAATGATGAGTAGGAGCTCCTAATGAAACTGTTCTTTGTCGATTTATATAACTTTGTGTTTATAATTAGATCTGTTCATATTATAACTCTATAATGATCGTCTCTGCAAAAAGTCAATTAAAACTAAAGTCGTTTAGTCATCAAAATTGTATAATAATTGGTAAAAGTATTACAAGCTATCTAATGTATTTGCTACAATAAACTCACTAAACGACTTTATTTGTAATTCATTTTTTGCAAAGATGCTCGTTACAAAGTGATTTATAATATGAACGGTTATGATCATAAACTCAAAGCTCTATAATTCAAACACGAAGAGTTTTGAATAAAAATCCCTCCTCATCCTTGAGTAGGCACTCAAGCATTGTTCATTTGTAGGGAGATGGATCCTCTCTAGATACATGGATCCTAATCCTAGGGATCCATCAATCCGGATCATTGAAATTTGATCCAACGGCTAAAGTTATTATAACTTTTAAAATGAACTCATGTTTGTAACTGTTGGATTAAATTTCAATAGCCCGAATTGATGGATTCCTAAGATTAGGATACATAGATCCGAAGAAGACCCATGTCCCATTTATAGGTCCCTTTGTTAAAAGAAACTATTAGACGCGACCAAATGCAACAAAAAAGCTCCTCTATTCTTAAAACACTTCCAAATTTTACAAATTGCATGAGGACCAAGAAACTAACATCGCACGGTAAGTTTTATACGTATGACAAATATCTAAAAGTATGTGAAGTTTTTGTCCATGTAACTTTGTGTTATCGGTACAAAACAGAATACAACAACAGTAATATATACGTATTATTTAAGTTGCTCTGAGGTGCCTCAAAACCACTATTTGAAGATCATGGCACACGTTGGAAATCCATTGAGAACGGGTCAAACGGGGTCAATCTTGACACAGCCCTACCAAGTCAATGATTACGGCACAGTATCAATCCGTTGGAAGTCTTGTATTCTGTGGAATTCCAAGTTTCGTGGGATCGATGACAATGACTTTGTCAGTCGAAATTCGCAATTGCAGTCAATAGGATATTAAGGAGAGATTCTTGTATATAATCGGGAACAAGACAAATTCTTTTGATAAAGGCAACCTGCAACCCTATAACAAGAATGTCGTGCTCGGTGCCAATCAAGCATTCATATGAAAAAAGTTAAAAAAACGTATTAACGTGTGATTCACTTGAGATGCTGTTACAATTGCATTCTCGATCCCTAAAAGAAATATGCAAGCCAGTACAATACCCAAATTATCCAATTAATGGGGAATAACACTTGCTTACTAAAAGGATGAGTAGGAGTTCCTACTCACACTGTTTGTTGTCGATTTATATACCTTTGTGTTTATAATTAGAATTGTTCATATTATACATTACTCTATAAAGATCGCCTTTGCAAAAAGTCAATTAAAACTAAAGTCGTTTAGTCGTCAAAACTGTATAATAGTTGGTAAAAGTATTATAAGCCATCTATGTATTTGTTACAATAAACTTACTAAACGACTTATTTTTAATTCATTTTTTGCAGAGATAATCGTTACAAAGTGAATTATAATATGAACAGTTTGATTATAAACCCAAAGCTCTGTAATTCAAACACGAAGAGTTTTGAATAAAAATTCCTCCTCATCCTAGGCACTCAAGCATTGTTCATTTATAGGTCCCCTTGTTCAAGGAAGCTACTAGACGCGACCAAATGCAACAAAAAAGCACCTACATTCTTACAACACTTCCAAATTTTAAACAAATTGCATGAGGACCAAGAAACTAACATCACACAGTAAGTTTTATAAATTCCACCATCAGTTTTATAATCATCTGTGCTGAAAGTTGAAACAATTTAAGAAAAAGCAGCTGAACCATTTAAAGAATTTGGACATAAACGCCAATACACACTTGAAGGTTTCCAAATGGAAACAAATTCAGAAACTACGATCGATTCAGCGCAACATCGATCTCTGAAGTGACAATCTACAATTATGCACTTATCTCCGATCAATCATCTGTGCCAAAGTACCGATCACCAAATTCACCCATTCCTGGTATGACACGGAACTCTTCATTCAGCGCAACATCAATCTCTGAAGTGACAATCTTCAAAGACGGAAACCGTTTGGAAACACAATGGATTCCTTCAGGGGCCTAAGCAGATGAAAATAGTAGGGCATTTAAGTCAATGTGTTGTTATCGGTATACAAAATACGAGCAATCAACCAGCATCAAGAAAAAACTCACAGAGACAAGGTTTAGGAAAATAATATGCGCTTCAGGAACTCCTTTCTGTATGAGTAGTTCAATCGCCTGGTTAGCAGAGTTACCTACAAGCCATTAAGGTTGATCGTCACTTCTTCACCATACCACATAACAAAGACTCCTATGCCCAAAAAATAAAAAAAATAAACAAAACCTGGACTGCAGTTTTAAGGTAGCAAAAGCTAACGTGTCATACCATCTGAATTTTCAGACTGTACACTATGCCTCACGACATGCTCTTTCAACGGGAATGGCTTAAGACATAAATAAATGATATCTTCCTACCACTTATGTGTATAACAATGAGAAGAAGAAAAAACCAGCGACGAAAATTTTCCTTCAACACCATCAACTAACCAGCTTATAGAGATTAATGGGATTACCTGTAGCAAGGACTGGATCTAGAAGCAGGACATGACGTTCTGAAATATCCTTTGGAAGTTTCTCATAGATAAGCTGTTTAAGTTGGAATAGCTCGGTTATACACAACTTTTATAAGGTTTGAGAGGGATGAGATAGCCATTGGTCAATTTCCTCCTTTAAAACCAAGGTACCTGCTTTCCATTGTCTCCAACACGGTGAATCAGAATCTTTCCAATCTTTATTCCTTTGCAGCATGCACGTAATGCATTTTCCATGCTCTCACCACTGACATAATAAACAAGGAAAAGTTGTTGGCATAGACAAAGGACTGCCGGACAAATAAAACTTCTAAAATTCAATATCTGACTTAACGCTCACCTTCGAACGATTGAAACCCCACACAGTTTCTTGCAAAAATCCACCCCAGTATATACTGATCCTGGTATATAACAAAAGAAAATTTTCAAAGACTCGCAAATATTCCTCATTTTCAGGCTATAGTTCAGATGATGCAAATTAAATATGAATCGATGTTTGTGTGAGATATATCCATTTACTCAAAATAGCATATATCAAAATACACCCCACCCCCTCCATCTAAAGGAAAATCCAAAACTATCCCCAAGCTGAACTGAACAGGCCGCAATCAAGTTATGAAATGAGTATGGATGAGGTAAGAAGAAATTGTAGACATGTAATCAGCACACCTGTTGGAGTTATATTTGCTTCTCTGTGAATGGCAAATGGCCAAGGCCATGCTCCACAACCTGGAGGTCACATCAGAGTATCAGAAAATAGAAGCACAACTCTGGTAGATTTATGAAATTTGAATAAGGCAGGGAATATAAATTACCAGACGTATTAGCCGATCTGAATAAAATACAAAATCATGTTTCGATATTTCTCGGTCTCGAATCAGTGTATGCATACCTCTTATCTGAAAAATGACAACAACTAGATTAAAGCCTGTAAGGAGATGAAGGTGAGCAAATAGTCATCTGATTGCAGACTGTCGGGAAAAGTTTTAAGGTTACAAGTCCATCACAATGCAGGTTATATGCTTAAATTACTTGGGTCAGTCAAACAAGAAATCTGATTCGTAATGCTTTTCAGAGCTGAAAATTAAAATACTTGAGAAGAACACAAAACATGCTCAGAAAATGTGGTTTAGAAAGTTTCTCAATTATAAAAACAAGACCCATACGCAACTAAACTAAAAACAAGACCCATAACTGATTTGCCATACAGTAAATCATTCGTACTCGAGTTGTGGAATCAACAATCAAAGCCAAATACCAAATTCCTAATTCCGGAAAAAGACAGATGGTGAACAATATGTCTATATAAAAACAAATCACACGAACACATATGGCATACCTGAAATGTGGACTGAATTACGTACACATTAGGATATATTTTGCAGAGGTCATGCTGACCAAGCTTTGTGCGAATATGTTGCACAATCAAATCAAT